TTTCTGTCTGTTTCTATCTTAGACACAATGCACAAACACACAACATGCACATGAACATGCATACTAACACGGCTTCCTTTGGGCCCCTGTGGCCCATGTGATCCCTCTGCTCCCCTCGTGCCTTTCTCTCCAGGTGGCCCTTCACGTCCCCTTGGGCCCATTGGTCCCCGGGAGCCTTGCTGGCCTGGCTTCCCTGGGGCACCCTATAAAAATAAAATACTGCTCTCGTGAGTGACACGTAGCATAGGATAAAGAACACTTTTTCCCTTAAGGAACATTAAGTTATCTATGCCTTGTATACACCTCTGGACACTGTACCTGGATGGTTGAATAACTGTTGCACTGTACAAATGTGTTTTATTGGAAAAAAACTATTAGGTACTATAAGTTGATGTGACAGATACTGTACCTATTAGGTACAATGTCATGTAATAATCTCTGGTTCTTACTTTTCAAATCACATTTTTGTTTCATCCATAATTGAGATGGGGCACAGCTGAATTTCTTTTAACTGAATATTACCCAATATTCTAAATATCATCTTTACTATTGGGAGAGTAATTAAGGATAACTTGCCAATACATAAGAACATGAAAAGAGTTCATACCTGTGCACCTTTGGCAGGAAGACACTGACATACAGAGCAGTCTCTACCTTCACATGGGCCCTCAATCCCCCCCTGAAACAACAAACAGAGACAAACCATATGCCATATGCAGTAAGACTGATCAATACTACATTTGAGAGAGGGGTGGAGACTGGCTAAGGCTGTGTCCAAGAGGACAGAGGACATCAGCAGGCAGGGTGGGGTTTGGGCATACTGGAGTATTTTACAGCTTTGAGAATAAGCCTTGAGAATTAACACATGCCCCTGTGGAAACTGGACAGTCCTGATTAGAAAGCTTTAAACAAATCAGTGTTCTCACACAAACTAATAAGTAATGAGCGCTATGACCTTGAGGAGAAAGTTCACAGCGCTTCATCATGCTCAAAGCATCCACACCTGGAGTACGAGTTCTGGAGTCGACACCTCCAGAGGCCGAGTATTACTAATTAAGTACAGTGCAGAGATGTGTATGATGTTTTCTCAAAGTATACTAAATATTTGGATGAGTTTTTGCTGGTGAAATTGATGTGTTCTATCGCACATCCACTTTTTCTTTTAGTCCAAACAAACATTCATGTCTCGCAGCAGAAAATACAGTTGGCTATGTCCAGTCCAGCTTCAACACACTTTAGGACTTTGGCAAACCCTTGAGGTAACAGTGTTTAATATCACTGCCATATCAGGTCGACGTTATTGACTTTTGAAGTTATAATGTGTAAGAATAATACTAATGTTACCCTCCAGCAGTCAAGTTCATACTCCAAGATAGAAGATAATAGCATATCAGGTCATATCCGCTGCTAACTGCTGTGAACTCTTTAGCTCAGGCAGCCCTGTAGCTAACTTAGCAGTCCTATTTTCTGACAAGTTACCAGAACCGGAGCCGGGACCGAACACAGCCCAACAATAAAGGTTAGACAGACGACAGGGGAAATGATTTACAGCAGCCCCGAACAGGACTGGGTTCAGGCGAGGTGTCAAGCAGGAGAAGAGCAAGAGGGAACTAACCAAGATAGTTTTGGTGAGTTTTATTTTTTGTAGTCTGTTGTTTTACGATCAGTTGATAAGGCAATTACTTCAGCAGAAGAGATAACTTAAACCTGAATTCAGGTGTGCAGTTGTATTTTTCAGTTTAGTCAGGAACATTGGTATTTCTTGGCATTTTGTGTATTTATTTCTTAGACAAAAAGGCTAATAGTAGCTTGCACCGTACACTGTGGTGTCGGCCTGGGCACTACACACTGTTTGGTCTGCACACACACGTCCTCAGCCGCCCACCTTCGCGGTAGAGTCTGTTATGATTGGCTGTCACCTGAAGTTATGCCCCTTTCAGCAGAGTCAATCCCTTCTGCACATGCGCATACTTATTCCCGGTCTAGACCGTACTCTCTGTGATATTATTCAAAGAAGCCCAACATCCAACATGCTCGTTGCGCAGACACATGTGACACTGCACATGAATAAAATAAAAATGAATCATGAAAAAAATCATGATTTACCCACTGTTACATATCCATAGTTGTTTTTCCTAATGACAGACAGGTGACTTCATGAACAAACAAAAATAATTAATTTTAGCGTTGTGTTTTGATTTTCAGGCATGTTAATGATCATTGACACTGAATATACTGGTAGCCACGCCCCTACCCCCCTCCTGTTGGTCTCTAACATAAATTTTAGCTTGCTTGCTGAGAATATGTATGTTGACAGCTAATGTATATATCTAAGCATTCAGTTATTTCTAGTATCCAGCTAACAGTGTTCCGCAACTAGATACACACAAAAAAAACAACAGTACCAATATTATCAGCCTTTTTTTTTTTTCAAAATACAAATATTTGTGATCATTATTCAAATAAATATGATTGTTTGTGTGTTTGTTTTAAAGAATTTTAACCCTGATATATAATGAGCAGGACATTTTGCAGTTAAAAAATTAACTCATTGCTCTTTGTGTACAAACTTTGTAATACTGACACTGATTCTAAATTACTTAAATGTGTATTTTTGGCATTTATATATTGCAATTTCTTGTTAATTATCAGCTGACACAGGACATATAAACCAATACTGATATACGCAATAAACCTACTTGGCCAATTTATCAGCCAGGCCAATGTTTCGGTCTAGCTGATTACCATAAGAACACCAAGCAGTCCTTTACACTGTGCAGGCAAAAGTTACATGGCGACAAATACTAGAAACACGTAGGGAGAAACACGTAGAGTTTCCAGTTGCATCAAGTACATCAAGGAATTTCTCTGAGAAATATTTTGTAGCAAGTCTGGCTGTGTACACAAATAGGAGCACACTCATGTATAGAACTAGCCAGTCAGTGTGCATTGAGGATTGTTGATGGATTGTTGTTTATGACAGGCCTAAACTACATTCCTGGCTACTGTAGCAGCAACAGTGTTTACAAAAATGAAGTTTTAATTAAACTTTACAAGATAAATTAAAAGTTGAAACCACTGCATGTGCCATAGAAGTGTTGATTTAACTCTATAGTAAATTTTGATCTACAGTTTGTGTTAGTGAACTGCACTGAGGGGTTAAAATAATAGCCTTCTTAGTGCACTGATGTATTGGGTTGGCATTAGCTTGTAGTGTACACTTACTGTAATAAAATGGCAACTCAGGGTATATTTGTAAAGTGGATATAATATTTTTCTCAATATGTACGAAATATTGGAAACATCTGAAACATTGTAAATCTCAACTCATGTTTATGTCAGGACTATTTTACTGCTTAGCAGATGCATGTGCTTCAGAGTACTTTGTAAAGCATGTTTATTCTATTGAGGTGCTTTCCACTAAATAGTTTAAACATAGTCTTAAATCTGTTCTTGTTTTGAATGATCTGCAGTTTATTCAAAACAAAATCTAGAACAAAGAGAACATTGATTGCTGTTTTTGTCTGCTGCATTTTACAATGCCCATGCTTAATGGTTATTTTCAGAAATATACTGTTTGATCAAACTGTATGATTTTATTGCCAGTATATTGTGCAATAAAACTTTATTGAAATTTTTAATTACAAGGTTTTTAGATTTTAAGGTTGTCATAGTAGTGAAATAAGGTTTAAATTCAAATGAATTCACTTACTGCATTGAGCTGCTGCACCAAGATGACCAAGACAAGGATCCACCTGCGAATGTAACAGTGGTAATAAATTAACTGCTTCCTTTACACAACCATAAATGACTGTCAAACACACATAACACACATAAACTGTGTGATAAAAATCTGACAATTCAACTTGCTAAATTATTAATGAATTTGCCTAGAGTATGAAAGCAACAAGAATGTTGTCCAAACTCTCTTCACACTGCAGGTGATACCACAGTCTGAGTGAGTGCAACTGTTGTCGTGTGTTGCAGTGTAGTGGAGGTCAGTTTTTATACAAAGTCTACATATTGGAATGCAAGTATGTAGATGTGTTGAATATCTGAGTAAACAGGCAAGAAGTGTGTTTGTCTTCAGGTAAATAGATTTACAAAGTAGGGGATGCGAATCCAACCAAACGTTATGTGACATAGGCTATCTCATACATGTTTCCGGTTCATCATGGCTCAGTACAACAGTATTCTTTTGTAATTTTTTCTATACCCAATCATATATTTTGTTCTGATAAAATGTCCAGATCATTTTGTTTGATACAAGATCAGAATTTAAAAATTGAAAAGATACACTGATCTACATTTTCTGATGTTGCAGTGAGACTCACCTGAGGGGGCAAAGGGTCACTTTAACAAAAACTGAGGATCCCATCTTTCATCTCATCAGGCTGGTTACAGGTGAATGTTGGCCTCAGTGCTGCCCCCTGTGGCGGATAAAATGGAGGCATGAAACATCTACTAAGACCTTAGACACCTCTGAGCCATAGCAATGAGGGGATTATGTGACAGTAAAGAATGGCTTCATTTGAGATTAAATGTAGTACATGCCATTGTCATTTAAAAATTTAAATATGCAACTGACAAAGAAATTCCCTGTGCTGTACTCTCACATAGGTAATCTCGGTAGGCAAAGTTTACTCTCCATGTAGTCTATAGATAGCAGTCCATCGTGCACAGTAAACAAGTTTCACAACTCACCCAAATTCAGAAGCTGAAGTGAATCTTCACGAACGCTTCAGTGCATCCCAAGCCGATTCAAACTAATCTCCTGCCTCTGTATTAGTACAAACCAAACAGAGTAACTGCCACCGTTTGTTAAGTATTGAGAAAATGGAATGAGATGGGAGGAGAAGGATGAGGAGATTGGGGTTGACATCAACAGTAAGTTCAGACCGCCTCCTTCTTCAGGGTCAAGATCAACAACTTCTCTGGGATGCCCTGTCTACTTACTGTCTATCTACTTGTACCGGGGCGGAGAACTTTAATTTAACTGAAGCCCTGACCTAACATCGCCCATAGTGCAGCAGTGGATGTGTGTAATGTGAAGGCTGGTTGTCGAGGAGGACGCTGACATTCGGTATCTGTGGTTACTCGTGAACTTTTGATGCAACTGGAACAAGACAAGCCATGGGGAGGCCAGTGTTCATAGTTCCTCTGATCCTGTTGGCTGTGATGCTTATGGGCACTGGGGCCAACAATGTAAGATATTTCATTTTACCTTACTGACATAACTTTGTAGCAAGATCTGATTTAAGGTAGACTGTGAAACAGAAACATTGTATTGGCTGTTTTTTTTATTTCATATACTGTACATAAATTGGACAGTCTTTGTAATACTCACAGGTTCATACTGTTGTTTGTTATTTATTTTATTGTAGACTTAAAGTTTGTTGCTGAGCTATGATGGTTGATTGGTGAGCATTTACTGGTGAGCTTTGTTAAAAAAAAAACTATCAGTATTTTTTATCACTCATCTTTTATCATAACTGTCTCACCTTGCCCTTTCAAGCAATGCGTCAGTAACATTTTCTTTTTTTGGATAATGCTGTTTAGTATAACTTTACCATTCTCTTGCTGTAATCCCCAGGTCCCACACAAAAACTCATTAAATCACTGTTTCTTGGAGGAAAGCATGTCTCTTTCTGTAACAGCATGTTCCTTGTGTATATCCTGTTGTGGATAATGTTAGCACCATTCATTTTCCACATCCTTAACTCTGATATACAACACTGTGGTCTGTTTGTAACTGCAATGTCTGTGCTTATCTGCAAACATCTTGTATCCTGAAGAGATTCTGGGTGGTTTTGCAGCCTGTTTGCACCACATGTACTTCACTGTATACAGTATTCTTCACGGGGCTATGTTGGTGGGCTTTTTTATGGAAGGCCATGGAAAAGGGACGGGATATGGTAGGAGGAAAATAAGCAAAACATGCATTCAGCACTAGATGGAGAGGGTAGCAGAGATATTTATTTAATAGTTAACATATTTAAACTATTCTGCACATCACTAGATTGATGAAGCATCAGCTAAACAGCATGGAAATATACATTTAGCTGCTTTTAGAGCCCAGCTGCTGTTATAGCCATAGCAAGATAATTTTGTCCAATCATATCATTTCATGTGCTTAAGGAAATTTAATTAATTACAGTAAAAGGCAACTATTAAAAATAAATAAAGTTTTTAAAAGAAAAATGGTATCAGACACTGTTCCCCCTTTTTGTAGGAGCACTCTGGTTTATGGCTGGATCGCCACAAGGCTAAGGTGAATTGGAAATGTAATGCATCTGAAACAACTTTTTGTTAAGTAATTATCAGTGCTGGGCAACAATTAAAATTTTTAATCACGATTAATTGCATGATTTTCTTGCGATAAATCGCATTGTTACGTGCAAAATTGAATAATGAATTCTAAAGTAGTGTATTGGGCATTTGTAATTTAAATGTAGCCTACTGCTATATACAAAAAAGTGCAATAACATGTGGTTTGCAAACACTTTAAACAAATAATGTGCTTTTTACCAGCAGTAGGCTATTCCCTTTACAAAGCAGCAATAAAATATTACCTAAAAATGTATGTAATCAAATATTAAACCAAAGCTATTTGCCACTGCCAGGGCATTACCTTTTATCTAGCTTGTTAAAACAAGTTACCATCAGAGTCCAGTTTTCTTATATATATTTTTTTCTGAACAGGTAGGCCTATTAGCAGGTATCTTTTATCAGGGAGCAGCAGAAATACTATGTTCAGTAGGGTTGGGACGATGTCTACATTCAAACATTGGGATGGACGATGGCGAAGGGGTGTAGCGGTCGTCTTATGTGCATGGGTTCACTCGCACAGACTTTACTTGGTTAAAAACTTGAAATGACGTTACGTGTCGCGGTGGATATTTTACAAGCACGGACCAGGGTGGGGCTGGGCTGAACATGACCATGGGGGTACAATTGGTAAAGAGAACTAAAGTTGGAGGAATCTGATTAACAGGGAAGAAAACCAGAGTGCTTTCACCCTAGAGAGGTCAAAATCGAGATTCAGGTGAACTTGTGGTTCGTGTACAGCTTGCTTTGAATTGTTACCAGTTTCCACAATATTGTTAATGGTTGATAGCAATGAAATTGGTTTACAGTGGTATTAGGAATCAGGGTTTGCTTTGAGAACTACTTCTTTCTAAATCAATACAAGATAAAAATGTACACAATACATAATGATCAATGTTATCATTTCTTTTTAGTGTGTGTGCACTGGAAAATCAAGGTGCCACTGTAAAGGAGTGAAAGGCAGCAGGGTGAGTAGATCATCTGTCGTCTCTGTCAAACACTTCGTCAATGCTGCAGATTTACTTGGACATAATTCTACCTCTTGCAGTTTTGAAAAAAAAAAATCTTAAAACTTAACATAACTTTCTACAAAATTGTTTCATTTTTCTAGTCACAATTACTTTGTTTATACCCATGATTCAAGTACATTACACAGCAGGTCATGTACATGTACTATAGTATGAACCGGTGTACTAGCTCAATATGTTATTGTAATTAAAATAAAATGTATGAACCCCTAACTATATTAAATAATCTGAGTGACATACATAGTGTATTTCATTAAATAGTAGTCATAGCAGGAAAAGCACAGGTGTTTCTAATAACATTAATAATGGCTTTATTGTGTTTAATATCACAGTGAACCAGCATGCACACTACCAGGACCCTGAAACTGAAGCAGCTAAATGGAATTCAACCATCATTAATGTTATTATTTACACTTGTGCTTCTCCTACTGTGACATGTCAAAGTGTCTTCTGTGAAGAAGACCTATTGTATTTGTTATAAGTACTATTTTTCATTTAAACTCTTTGGTTACCAGGTCTCACTGTTTTTGAAAAGCTTTCAAAACAGACCTGGAAATAGGGGCACGGTGCTTCTGTCAAACCTCACCATCGCATTAAAAACACAACACTGTACAGCAATCAAATGCCAGCATGTGCTTCTGGTGCAGTTTTCCAGTTATACACTAGATATCTCAATATTCTTCATAATTACTTTAACCCTGTCAAGCGAGACCAGATGTTTCATTTTAAATCAATTTGTAGTGAGCACCAAGCAGAGCGAGCAGAACACACATTACACTAACCTCTTTAGTATTGTATAGTTCACACTCAGCAATGATCTGCAAACTGTGATTCTATAGATTCCATTTATTTGAGGTGTTGACTGATATTTCACACTAGCGAAAGGCAGTCAACAAAGTATGCAAAATGCAATCAGGAAAGACATTTAGATTCGCCCATTCAAAATACACGGCAGAGAGAAAATACAAATCAAATCAAATGATTATGTCAATTTTCATGTGTCCACTTATAGAAAATAAACATTCATTAAAACTACAAGTTATATTTATTCAATTTGTTTATTAACCTTTGACTGTGATTGAGAGGGAAATTGTTTTAATTTTTTTTTTGCTAAACATTCTAGTCTATGGATTAACAGGGACCAACACTAGACAACAATTTAAAGTATATTTTTAATGTTTGTTTATAGTAGTAACATTTAGAAACACAGGAGTAAGCAAGCTTATGTCAACCGTGGTCAGTTGAAAAACACAGAAAATCGTGATCATATTATGTATGTGAATATAACTTAAATGTATATGGACACTGGCCATCATCAGTGAAATGAAATGATATGCTATTGAATTACTTTACGCTTTAATTACTTGTTAATGAAATATATAGGGTTGATTGTTCTTATGTAGTTTGTATGATGCTTTGGCAATATTGTTGTTATACATTCATGCCAATAAAGCTAATTTGAATTGAATTGAATTGCTATTCAGCAGCAGGTATGTTATTGATTAAGCAACCATCTCATAGTACTATTTAAGTATGCAGCGGTATTTCAACAAAGTAATATCTTTAAAAGAACATTTGTAAAATCTGAAATTGCATCTCATATTGTTGTTTGTCTGCCCCCTTGTTTCATTTTCTCTATCTCTCCCTCTGTTTCTCTCTCTCTCTCACACACACACACACATAGGGAGACAAAGGTTTTCCAGGAGTACCAGGTCCCCCAGGGCCAGAGGGCCGTCCAGGATCAGATGGTCCTGTTGGGCCTATGGGACTAAAGGTAGAATTTCAGCCTGGCTTCTCTACATCCCCAAATCCAATACCGTTGTCAAAGGGCAGCAATGACTGTGTATAGACCGTAATGAATTACACTTTCTCCTTGTGTACACTAAGATTAATTAAAGGCTGCTTTCTTTGACAGGGAAACACTGGGCCTGATGGATCCGAGGGACAAATAGGCGATCCGGTAACATAACTGTGCTATGCAAGCTTGTGTCTGTTTGGATGTTATGGTTAAAATGACTCCTGTACAATATGTGTTTGTATGTGTGTAGACAAAGTGCAAAGCAAGTATCCACTCATTAGCTCATGTGCCTTTTGAAAAGGATACTGGTTTTGATATCCTCATTACAGGGACCTCAGGGCAAAGACGGATTTGCTGGGTCTCATGGTTTACCGGTGAGGTGTCTTACTCTCTTATACATCTATGTTACTCTGTTCAACATCTGATTAATGTATTGCGTAAGCACATATCCCTGCATATGCTAATTTTTGAACTTCTGCTGATATTCTCTTACAGGGTTTCCCAGGTTTACAAGGTCCTCCAGGACCCCCAGGGACCCCAGGCTGCAATGGAACAGATGTAAGAAAATATTACATTGTAGCATGTCCATGTTCCTCCATGTAATATTTTTAGCTTGTGAGATATATATCTTGAAGACATTACGTACTTTTAGGGAGAAGATGGACCTCCTGGTGTTCCCGGGGCCCCTGGCATTGATGGACATGCTGTAAGACAAAATCAAAACAATTTATTTGTAATGTTACATTTTGTTTTAATCAAATATAGTGTTCTGATATGTTACACTTCAACCAACAGTCTTTTGTTGTTTGGTGCTGTCCTTAAAAATGAAACATTAATGAATATGTTCAAAATTTGCTTCAGCTTCGGCTTTACTTTACAGGGCCCACCTGGCCTGCCTGGACCTAAGGTAATAATACTGTGCTGCCTGGGGCCATTTGTTAAGTACTTTTTGTATTTAGGAAGGGTGAAACTGCAAAATTGCTCAGCAAATACTGCCTTTTAAGACAAGACGCTTTCAACTGTAACAACATAAACAAACGGTACTGCGCATGTGCATTACTCTGGCCCAAACTTAACTTTCGGCAAACCCTAACAAGTAAATAACCTTAGCTGCCAGTCGAAGAAAAGAAACGTTACTTGGCCAAACTGAAATGTGATAAGGTCACACTACCAGACCAGTTGAACAAAAATTTGAGACAAGAATGTTTTTCTACCGACCTGTCTGATTTACTGCAGTGAGTGTTTCCCACAGGAAGACAGCGTAACTGTGGCGAGCGCGGCGGGGTGTGTCTGCGGGAGAGAGAGAGACAGAGAGGGAGCGAGTGAGAGGAGGTGCTAAGCGAATATACGCTGCGTGCAGCGTTTTCCAATCTTAAATATTAAAAAAAAAAAAACGGAAATCAATATGTGGCGGTCAGCGCTGATAATGTGGTAGGCTGCCACAAATAAATGAATGTATGGGAAACACTGTACTGGATATCACTCACCATATTAGCCAGTGAACACAAACCCAGTGATAAACAAACAGAACGGAAGTTAACTTCGGGCCGAGCGTGTAACCTTGGCAGCGCGTCGTATGAAAGGGATCCTGATGCCCCAAGTTTAAAAAAAACATTCTGGCAGCTGCCCTCTCTACCTTCCCAAGCTTCCAGAGCTCATTTTGTACCTAGTCCATGTGAGACCAACTTCTTTGAACATTCCCTTTGTTTTTTCCTTCTATCAAGTCTGTCATCCCACTTTTATTGTGTTCATTCTCAAGAATGCTAGCATTGAGTGTTACTAATGTATACATTAGAGAACTACTACATCAGTAGACCCAGTCATCTTTGGGTATCTGTACACACTATGCATGCAACTGCACTCTTCCAATTTTTCAGCTTTGATTATGATGCCCACTGGAGTTATGTGTTTTAACATGGCGGATGGACAGTTTGTTTTGACTGTGCCACCACCCACCCATACAGACATGAGACATCTCCCAAAACTTCAAACACTACATATGCAGAATCCTCTCCAGATGTTAAGTCTAAACAAAGTAGATTCATCTGGTGTACCATTATAGACCTGAGGAGCACTTTCTGTGATATTTGTGTGGTTCCCGTAGTAAAAAAAACCCCATCATGGTAGACCATGTGCCAAAAACATATGGAAGCACGTAACTTGCAGAATTATCGGTCACATTTATGGCTGTCACTATGAATTGTTTTAAAAACTCTCAGATTTGACCTATGACATCACAACAGTACTGTACCTTGACTTTTGGAGAAACGCCCACGCTACAAGTCCTGGCAGAATAAATACTTCTGGGAAGAAATTGCTCATAGAAACCTCCATTGGAGTATGCAAGTTGAGTCCAGCAGTTGCAGCAGTTGGAGCATGACTCCAAAGGAGAGTCAGGGTTCAGATATTCACTGGAAACATACTTGGTTCTCCTCAGGCCCATTCACAGAACTAGACTTGTGAGGGTGAGACAGTACTGCGTGCGAGTTCACTCCTGGCCATTGACACTTCTAATGCTGTGTTGTCATGGCTGTGGATACTTTTAACTTTTTAACTAGCTTGGCTTCTGAGGCCTTGTGAAACCCTTTAGAAGGCAAAGCCTATGTGGAATAGGTTTGTTTTTTGTAACCCTTGTTCTACAAATCCAGGCTAAACCCTCAGTCTGCTTTTCCACTTATTTTTCGCTTCTGCTTTATGTGATCATTTTATAGAGATGACCCCCAAGAAATTGAATGTGGTCATTATAATTCAATAACAATATGCAACTATCAAGTATAACATCTTCCACGCAGTATTACTACATAACTGCATTTAACATCTATTTTAACACAAAATTCAGTAACTTAAATGTTAAATAAATGTACTCCCTCCATTTCACAGGGAGAATCTTGGGCATCAGTGAACGCAAGACCAGGGCCACCTGGGCCACCTGGGAGGGACGGACTGCCGGTAACTATTTTTGCATTAATACCAATACAGTTTTGTTTGTACAATATTTTCCATTACAGGACACTTTCCATAAATTTGATAGATAAAAAGTAGAACTAGATTTATTAATAAATTAAAAATAAATAAAACTAATAGATTAGTAATATGTTTGTTCTATATGTATTTATATTAAGAGGAAATGTCCCCTTATATTTCAGGGAGATCCAGGTTCCCCTGGAATATATGGGCCAGCAGGGGATCCTGGACCACGGGGCTCTGTCGTGAGTAAAGTTTTGTGGTTGCTTTGCACAGAGTACATTTAGCACTCTGGAAAAGTTTTTATGTGATGCTTGATATAACTGTCCGCATTCTTTATGAACAGGGGTTTCCTGGTCGTCCAGGGGCTCCAGGATCTAAGGTAATGCTAAGAAATATTTCTCGTGTATACATGACAGCTTACACCAGTGACAACGAGTGTGAGTATTTGCTGCGTGTCTCAGTGGCACAGAGGAAACCCACAGCTGCAGGGTTTTTGTTTTGGCCTGGTTCTGTAATTATCATAGTTGGCGGTGTTCACACTATCAGGGAAAGTGGAAACATTTCCTAATTGTTGCTGTAGTGACTACCACTGGTTGGCCGAAGTGCTTGTTCTTTGGAAGGACAATATTTTGGAATGTAGCGGGAACATCTGCAAGGGGTAGAGTCTCCAGGTTTCCTGTGAAACTCCTCTCACACAGGTGAAATTGGTGGTGATAGGATGTAGTGTATTAGAGGAGGGTCACAGCCGTAGATACCCATCTGTGGGAGTCTGCAGCAACAAGGATAGTAAATGTGGGAACCGGAGCACAACCAAACTGTGAGAAAACCTAGAAATATGCTAAATAAAGGGAGTTGCTGAGAAAGACTGAGAGACCAGCTTATTTCTACAAACAAGTTACAAATGCTTTCTCATCCTACAGGGTCAAGAAGGCATAGGCGGTATCCCAGGACCACGTGGCCCAAAGGTATTCTTAAGTACACTGTTGCAGTATATTAATAAGATTACATTTAATTTAAGAGAAGATGATGTAGCATTGATAGCATTGATAACACTGCACTATTGTTTTTTCTTTACCTCTGACCATTTCTGTGACATGATTGTAACAGTTTCTGTGTGCATTATGTGTTTATTATGTTTGAGGATGATCTCAATTTGTTTGATGTAGGGGAGATCGGGACCACTAGGCCTACCAGGGCCACCAGGTCGGATTAGGGAGTTTTTCTCCGAGATTCTCTTGTTAAAGGTACAGTAGCAGACTGAGGTCAAATCACTGTAGCAGCTACATATTCCACAGAGTGGTGATTCCTGTATGAATGGGGGTAATGCAGTATCATGGCTACATTGAAGCAATAAAAAGTTATAGTTTCAGGTGATATGCATAATGGTTTTCATCAATAATGTATCGTCCATCTTTATATACATCCATCTGTGGTGCTGTATTACGTAATATCCATTAACATTTATTGTAGTTAATCCTCTCATCTTGTTTTTATAGCAATTTATTGCAACTGCCATGAGTGCATGAGTGAATAGTGTCACACAAGTTGGAACAGCAGCCTTCAAATTTTTAGTGACTGATTAAGCAGCAGGCTTTCACACAATCTCCATGCAAATTTTTCTTAGTAAAATTAAGGAAAGGAAAAGATCAGTTGATTTGGAGGCTGTTGACAAGGTGACCTGAAAGTGGCTCATGAAGTGTCCAAAATGGAAAGACAATGTGCTCAGTAAATTTCATTGTAATCCTTCAATTATAGTTTGATATTTCTTGTGTAGAGCTGTAAATTGTGGCCTGATGGTGGCAATAGAAGAAAGGTCACCAAAAATATTATGAATGTCTACTACAAATCGTATGGCAAATTGGCTAGTTGTTGGGAAAATATCTTGGTCTATTTTGGACAAAAATGTTAGACAGACAGGCTGACCGGCAGCTGTTGTCATTGCAACTAATGACTAGATTTATTTCTTATTCAGGGTGTCAAAGGAGACGAAGGAAATGTAGGGGGAAAGGGCTGCAGGGGCGCACCAGTAAGTTAACATTCACACCACTGCAACTCTCTACTTAGCATTAAACATCACACATTTTATTAATGCGCTTTTTTAAATGTCCAAAGCTCCTCGCCGACATTTGTTCTGCCTTGTTAACGTTTTGTACTTCGCTCTGATTCCTGTCCTTATTTCAATCTGTTCTCAGGGAGACCCTGGTTATGGCTTTTACACCAAAGGAGCAAAGGGGGACAAAGGATTGGAGGGTCCAGAAGTAAGATACTTCATACCATTTATTCCATTTGCCATCACCTTTAAGCCTCCCTTAATGGTTGCACATACATATGAAATATAGTGGTGTCCCACAATAAAAAGAAATGCTGTGTTATTATATATATTTGTCTGTTGCTGCACCATATATTTCTCCCTCCAAACAAGAGGTGTTTCACCACTTCACTTTGCATTGAAGGGCCATCAATAACACATTGGGAATAGCTCAATAAAAAGGATGACCAGCAGAGGGCAGTAATTTAGCATTAAACTCACTGTGAAGACCATTGTTCATTTGTCCCTCTGTCCCTTAGACTTATTAATGGGAAACTCCTAGAGTGTAGACAGGAGGGTATTGCAGGTTTTCTCTAATTGTGTGTTTGCTTATCAGCATGTAAAGTGAGACGTGTTTGTTTGCATGTAATTTATGTACTAAGGTGTGTATGGTTTGGGGTGTATGCCATAAAATTGTATGTGATTCACAGAATGAATGGCTTTGTGAGTAATGTTCCTTCTTATCTTATCTCAGGCTAGTGTTTCCACATGTGTTCTTATTTAATGTGTTTTATTGTGAGGTGTAGTTTTGATGCAGCAACTCCTTTAAACCAGGACAAATACCTCCCGTGTTAGAAAAATAAAGTTACCTTATCACTCTACATACTCAATTTCATGATAATTGTGTTGCTAGAAAATAGCTTCAGTCCAAGTTAAAGTGCACCGTATTATCACATATTTACAATGAAGGCAGCGCTGAAACAAAGGAAAGGGTGTGCTCACTGTGATTTCATTGGATATCAAATTTGAGCCTGGCCTGAAATTCTGTGTGCCATGTAGCTAGCTAGATACATTTTTTTTTTTTTGGTTTTTATTTAACATGAGGACAACAAGGGCAAAAAGGGCCAATCACATCTATTTATACATAATGAAAGAAGTGCCTACCCTCAATCACAACAGTTGATTGTTTTTATGATATAAAGTCACGTGAATCAAAGGATATCTGAGGCCCTTTGTTACCAATTTTCTATACAGAAATCAGAACCTATCAGTTCCTCACTGTTGTCCTTAATTGTCATTACAGGGAAAGTCAGGGAAGGATGGTGATCCTGGACACCCTGGATTGAGGGTACTGTTCTTTTATGTGTATGTGTTATGCAGAGGTATAACGTGGTGTGTGTGTGTGACTTCTGAATACAATATAATTTTCTTTAGGGAAGGCCTGGCCGCAGAGGTGATCCGGGATATCCAGGGACACCAGGAGGGATGGTCAGAGATCTCTTAGTCCTAAAAGCAATACCCAGTTTAGTGAGTTGGTATGTTTTGTACTATATAATCATGCTTTGTGTGTATACTGTAATCTGTAGGGTGAAAAGGGAAATCGTGGTCTGCCTGGTCCATCTGGAGATGTGAGTTTTATCATCATTTTCTTCTTATTAATCCTGTGTTGTTGTGTTAATGCAAGCAATGGCAAGATCCAGCAAGCCAAGCTGGTATGTTAGTCTTTGTCCTCTATTTTGAAACCTGAACTAATGAGAAATTATTCTTGTGCATTTTAAAAGTATGTTCTACAGCATTAGTTCCCAAAGTGGGTGCCTCAGCACGCTGAGGTGCCTTGGGGAGGGGCAAAGGGTGCCATAAGAGTATTTTTTCCATGTTTTACTGTAATAAAAAAAATAGCAGTGCAAAGATTTTCATTGTAAACTGAACTACTGATACAGCTTAGCCCTGCAGTCTAACAAAGGCTACTCTTACAGTCTAAGATGACCAAAACAAGTATATTCAGTGAAAACTACTCGGCTTACAGCTCTTCATGTAGAGTAGCTACCCCACACTTGGATGCTGCAGCTTTATATTATTTATTAGTTCAGTAGGGCTTCATTGGCATAGGAAACAGAAAAACCTGTTTCTAAAGATAATTTGATGAATTGATTGAATTTTTATTATTTATCTAAATCATTCAATAATTTTTCTGAGTTAGGGGGTCCTGTTCATGGTCCTGCGATTTTTTCCTTGCCTCCTTCGCCAAGTGCTTGCTTGTGGTGGGAATTGTTGGGTCTCTGTTAATAATATTACAAAGAGTATGGTCTAGACCTAGTCTGTGTTAGAAGTGCAATGAGATAACTTTTGTTATGATTGGAGCTGATTGAATGACAAGCGTACATGTGTTATATGTGTGGGGGATGTATAAAGTTGGTGTGATGGGGTGCCAATGTATAAACAAGTTTTGAAACCACTGTTCTACAGTGTAAGTCAATCCAGCTATTCCACCATGATTTTATAATGCTCCTTGTGTTTTTTTTTTACAGATAATTGGGCCTGTAACTGAACCACTCAAAGGATACCGTGGAGATCCTGGCCCCCCAGGCCCACCTGGGCTTCCTGGAAATCAGGGTAGAGAAAAATAGTGCTGTATAATAAGCCAAATAGTTTGTATAGTATAATAAATGAAAGACAGAGACCAGTACAGCAATGGCCAAAGTCAGGGTCTGCCACGATTAAGTTGTAACAAATTCTATAGTGGTAGTGGTGGTTATAACTCTATGAACTAGTCTTTCCTGCTGCAGATAATACAAAACTAACACAGGTCACTATTATTTTCTCAGGTATTGTGGGGTTTCCTGGACCTGATGGACCTCCAGGTATGCAGTTAAGAGGCTATTCACATCATATGGTTTTTAATATTAAATTGTATTTAAAATGCAACGAACAAAGAGGTATGAGTTTTGGTTTCCCCAGATATATTGCTCACATTCTGTCACATTATACAGGCCATGCGTCTGGGATTTATGTTCCAGGCGCACAGGGTCCCAGTGGCTTTCCAGGCCCCAAAGGAGACCCTGGGGAGCCAGGGGATATATATATGGGACTCCCAGGTCTTAATGGGGATGCTGGTGATCAAGGGCCTCCTGGAGATAGGGGCCCCCCTGGACCTCCTGAAGACAGAAGTATGTATAAATGTCTTCCTTTTATGAAGTTATTTCATCTAAACACTACAATTGCTTTTAATACAACTTCTGATATTGCTTTCAAATTCTGTAATACACCAGGTGATAGTGCTGTATGTTTTCAGTAATGTAAATCATTCCTTTTTTATATAATTTATTCTGTCATAGTGAGCTTATAGGGCAGAGGCAGTCATTAGTCTACATGGATTTTTGAAATTCTGAAACAACTATCGGCTAAAATGTGCTTGTAACTATTGTGAGGGCCTTTAATGCTGCACAATGTTCATATTTATATGGTCCCCTTATAGAACATTTTATTTTTTCTCTTCAACAGAGAGCATTTTTTATCCAAAGCGACTTACATTTATAGAACATGTTCCAAGGTAGGCTTGATTTCTAAGCCTAGGGACCCTTACTGGAGGTTTGTCCTGTAAATCTGATATGGTCTATGGTAGGCATAAAAATGCACCAATGATGACAAGAAAAATACGGCAAAATATAACTAATAAACTGATGGACTTGCTTGGTTGGCATTTCTTGTAGTAAACAGGATTACCAAGGGTTTCCCAGGAATAAAGGGAATCAGGGGTTCACCTGGACCTATGGGATATAATGGGACGTTTGGAATGAAAGGTGGGAAAGTATTATGTTATTCCTAAATTAATTTTTACCATTTAATGTGTTTCATATTTGTTTGACATACATACATAAACTGTAGACTATTACGTGCAGTTGTTGATACATAGCAGTTTATGCAACCCTTTAACTATGTCCTTTGAAGTCACTCCCACAGTCTGGACTACAAAGAATAAAAAAAACATGGGACAATGGGAAAATATTCCTATGCTTATGCTCTTTACAGGAGTGAAGGGGGAGCCCTGTTATGAGTGTTTGGGATCAGGACCCCCGGGACCTCCAGGTCCCCGTGGTCCACCTGGCATCCCTGGTAAAACTAGTCACTGCATGCAAAGACACTCATTCTACCCACTCTGTCCTACATCAATATTATATGTATTATATGTATTATATATATATATTATATGTTTCTGCCACTCAGGCTACAATCAAGGACCAGGTGATAAAGGTGATCCGGGCTTTCCAGGACGTCAAGGCTTACCTGGAAGACCAGTAAGAAAGATGTCTTTAAAATGGTAGTTTCTTGGTGTTTTGTATTTGTAAACAATCATTCTTCTCTGAAGGGTCCTGTTGGTCAAATGGGATTTCCAGGCCCACCAGGGGAAAAGGGGGAAACTTCTTACGACATACCTGGGATGAAGGGTGAGAACGGAGATCCAGGACGGCCTGGTGGGCCTGGTACAGATGGCCTCCCTGGGGTTCCCGGGCGTCCGGGTCGCAAAGGCAATCGTGGGCCTCCAGGGGATTCGGTGAGAATATTTTGCTTCATAGTTCTCAGCCAGTGGTTTAGTGGTTGTTGGAACAAGTTTTCAATCCACTCTCTAGTATCCCTTCCCAGGTGCAGAGGGAGACCGTGGTTTACCAGGTCCTCCAGGGCCTTTAGGCAGACCGGGAACAGTTGGCTACCCTGGGCCAGTGGGATATGGCCCTGCTGGATTTCCAGGAAGTAAGGGAGACGTTGGGGTACCTGGCCTGCCAGGACAGACTGGAATTCCAGGTAAAGAAACATTGACCAAAATACAAGTTGCCAAAGATATTTATACATAAACACACAAGTAGATAGCCAGAAAGACTTATGGCCTTTCTTATTTCCCTCCTTCATTTGTAAGGCCAGAAAGGTGAACCTAGCCACATCCACGCCAAAGGACTTCCTGGACCACCTGGATTTAAAGGTCTGCCTGGGTCATCTGGAAGCAGAGGTGAGCATGGCAGTATCACTGATGGATTGATTAATGGAGGGATGGATAGAAGTGTCTCACACTTACCAACAAACATCTAGGTAATCAAGGAGTGTCAGGTATCCCAGGAACACCAGGTTTTCCAGGACAGAAAGGAGAAAGAGGCGATGTGTCATTTCCTGGAAGGCCGGGGGTCCTAGGACAGAAAGGTAATCCAGTGCTAGTGAGCTCCAGCATAAAAAACATTCATTCAGATTCAAGTATTTGAGAACATAAGATGTATTATCAGTATTGCAGTTTTATTGGTTTGGATGTTTTTGGTACCTCCCTAACATAGTGTGGAACAGCTAAAAGTATTCATGTTTCTATCACTGTGTACTTGTCTGTGTGTGTGTGTTGCCCAGGTGACAAGGGGCAACCAGGTCTCCCAGGATTTCCAGGTACGGGCTTGCCTGGTCGGCCAGGTCAACCAGGTGCTCCTGGTCCTCCAGGATTGAAGGTCAGAGACACAAACAAAATCTGTTATATATAGTCTGCCATACGGTAGTATACATAATCATATAGTGTATATAGCACTTTATTGGCCATTATGTGGAAAAGGTAATACTCCAGGTCATATAGAAGCCATTGAAAAACAGGACAATGAAGTGATATTGAAAGCTACCTGAAATTGTATAATTTTACTGTCTTAACCTCTTAAACTCCACTAGGACACTAGGTCTGTCAGACGGTGTAGCAAATCTAAGTCATCCATTGGTACCAACCATGTCATGGGAACTGAAAAACACTCCAACATTAGGCTAAATTTTGTCAAGGGAATAACTGCCATGGCCATTTTCAAAGGGGTTCCTTGACCTCTCACTTCAAGATATCTACATGAATGTTGGGCAAAAACCATGCAGTTTTTTGCGTACAGCATAAATGTGTTATTTTTACAGAAACAGGCATTTTTGCTTTCTGGCAGGATAGTTAAGGATATTGATACCAATCTCTCTGTACAGTAAAGACGGTCTACAGTCTGTAGCCATTTAGCTTAGAGACTTGAAACAGGGATCTAGCCTGGCTCAAAATCTGTTTTTTAGTTTTAGACAGAGCCAGGTTAGGTCTTTCCTCCTGTTTCCAGTATTTGTGCTAAGCTAACCAACTGCTGGCTAGCTGCATATTTATCATATGGACATGAGAGTAGTATCAATCGTCTCATCAAACTACTCCTGTAAGAGTGATCCAATGGAACATCTGTTATGGAGAGAAAAGAGAAAATCCCACTTTTCTGCTTTTTCTCTTAAACCAAACGTTAAGAAGAAAAGCAGAAAAGTGGGATTGTTAAATAAATTTGTGATTACTTTATTGGTTGTACCTTTTATTTACTATTTCAAATAAAGAATCGCTAAAGATGCACTATTTTTAATGAATTAACATCTTTCCAGGACATTCAAGTGTTCATTGTGTCTTTGAAGCAGATTTTGTGTATTTGAAGCACTTTCTGATCCATAACTTGTTTATGAAAACATAATGAAAGTGTAGCCCTGAAGGGAATTAAATTGAGTACAGAATGTTTTTGCAAAAACAGTCAGCTGTTCACAGACCTATTAGAGTCAGAGTCAGATATTAGAGTCCCTGTGTGTTTTACTGTTGAGAAGTCATGATATATAGTAGTACAGCACTGGCACAGCACACCACTTGAACAATGTCATACTGTAAGCACACTGAATATTTGTTATTGTCAGGGTGAGGGTGGCCCTGGATACCCTGGCCCTATAGGCCCCCCAGGGCCTCCAGGAGAAGATGGAGCTCAGGGGCCTGTAGGAGATCCTGGGAGTCCTGGTCTACCTGGAAGCCCAGGACTTATTGGCAAACTGGGTCTTCCTGGAGAAAAAGGTACAGTACTCATAAATCAAATATAGAACTATAGCCCGCAGACAGACAGAAAAACGTAATAAGTAATAATTTTGTATGGTTCATCCAAACACACAAAGATAAATTTGCATTCATGAATACATACTCTTACAAACACATGTTCATCTATTTACCATTTTATTGTGTGCTACATACAGGAAGCAAAGGTTCTGTAGGCCCCTCTGGGCTACCTGGTAATAAAGATTCATGTAAAGGTGGTTTACCTGGACAAAGGGGACCACCAGGACCAGATGGTCATACAGGACATCCAGGTCAGTGTATAATGAAGTCATGTGATGTACTTTACTGTCAACTCCAGAGGGACAATGAATGCAGAAGGTGAAAGATGAAAGATGAAATGTCAGTTGACATCTCCCCCATAGTTAAACACTGTCTAACAAACTGTTTCATCTTATAAAAAATAAGTGCCTTTTCATCATTCTCTTCCCTGCGTCCCCTCTCTTAGGAACCAATGGCTTGCCAGGTGAGAAGGGGAATGCAGGTTTGCCAGGGTTTGGTCGCCCTGGTCCCCCTGGTGATCCTGGTCCCATCGGGCCATCGGTGCCAGGTTTACGCGGGCTTTCTGGACAAAAAGGGATCAAGGGACAAAGCGGCCTACCTGGTCAACCTGGTATGGTATCGTTTCTCTGAGAGGCCAGTACTCTCTTTTGATGATATTTTTAAACAACTTTGAATACTTTTTAGTAGTAACTGCCTTAACCATGTACTGTATTGACAAAAAAAGATGTCCAATCAAAGTACATATCAAAATTATTCAATGTGACTGTGAAAAAGTACTCTGTAATTGAAGAATAATTTATGAATTGATACACCTCTCTATAAATGTTCCTCTTGGATTTCTTCAGGACTGAGAGGAGACCCTGGACTAGATGGGATACCAGGATATGGCCCAGAAGGGTTGCCTGGAATTATAGGACCCCCAGGCGAAATAGGTAACACACCTTCCCAGACAAATAAATCCTTATATATCAACCAAGTCTTTCCTCAGATCTCAAAAAGTTGTTGGTAAGTCCTTATAATTGTATATGTGGTAAATTATGTGGAGTTAATGCCCCATGATTTTTTATAGGTGCCCCTGGCCGAGACGGAGCCAAAGGTTCCCAGGGTCCTCCAGGTATGGAAGGGGAAACAGGTTCCACTGGTCCGCGAGGCCCTCAACAATTAATCAACATCTCAGGGCCACCAGGGGACCCCGGCGATCCAGGTAAGCATTTCAGTAAACTCTACTTGTAAAAATAACCTTCTACATCCACTTACTGTGAGATAGTGTTGTTTCACAAAATATAACTCAATTGATTTTTGTAAAAAGTCATAAATGCATCCTTTGCAAGTCTTGCTGTTAAACTGTGATATTCTAACTCTATTTCTCTCTTTATCAGGTTACCCTGGTCTTCCTGGTGTCTGTGGAGAGACTGGACGTATTGGACCAAAAGGGCAGAGAGGGATAGATGGAGTACTAGGGGGCCCTGGACAAAGGGGTTTGAAATTAGTTTCACATTTGTAACAATACATTTATTTTGGTTCATTAAATCTATCTGGCCATTTTAACCATTTTTGAAACTGCATGTCTGTACTGTTTGTTTATGTGTCCAGGTCCACCAGGTGATCCAGGTATTGATGGACCAGTGGTCTCAGAAGGAAGTCAAGGACCTGCTGGAGCCCCAGGTGATTCAGGAGTCAGAGGGCTTCCAGGTAAGACCTAAATTTGGTTTACGGGCATTCCCTCTTTCATACATATTCCCACCTTTAACAATCACAAATTAAAGCAAACAAGAGTTGTACAGCTATGAGGCCTCGTTTAATGTATCTTAAATAAAATAATTGATTTGCTTAACTCTTACAGGCCCAAAGGGAATAAAGGGAGATCAAGGAATCCCTGGAGGTCCAGGTCCAAATGGTGCACCGGGTCCAACTGGTCACAAAGGAGTTACTGGAGAGCCTAACTTCTATGGATATGGTCGGCCTGGACTAGCAGGACAAAAGGTACTGATGACTGACTGAACAAAGTTTGAGTCTTTGTAACTAATGCGTTCAATCTAGTAAAATACTAACATGTGAATACAGTCAAAAAAATATTTTAATTATAAATAATGATGATAATCTCTCTTGTTTTCTCTTTATTCTTCTTTCTGTCCTCAGGGTGAACCAGGTTTAAGTAATACCAATATGAAGAAAGGTCAGAAAGGTGAATCTGGTGTTTTTGGGGCTGTAGGTCTACCAGGAAACCTTGGAGAGAAAGGAAACCCAGGACCTGTTGGACAAAATGGTCACTACCACCAGTCCCAAAAATAAGGCAGCTTATGTTTGGTTGTACTTTTTGCACATACTCTATTAACATCTCCAACCCACTCCTGTCCACACCCTGCTCTTCCAGGTTCACCAGGCTATCAAGGGCCTAGAGGTTCAGACGGGCCGGCAGGAAGTAAAGGACACCCAGGACCTAATGGACCACCAGGCAAAGTCCTTTGAAATACTTGTGTGGGATGCCTTCCATTTCACCAAATCAATCAACATATTTTAAAACTACAACCCACTGTGAAACTCTTACTGTAGAATAGACCTGCATTTGTCAGTTTTTGTACTTTTTACAGCTATATTTTATTTGTACTTATTTAATTTAATTTCTACTTATTTGAAGTTTAATCCCAGCCATACTTTTTTCATATATTTTTTTCCTTCAGGTAACCCAGGTCTGCCGGGTGTCAGTGGTTATCCAGGTTCTAAAGGCAACAAGGGCCGGGATGGGATTCCGGGGCCGCAAGGACAAAAAGGAGATACTAGTAAGTAGAATCCTGCATGAAAAGTTCTGTATGGCTCTATGAGCTCATTTAGCTTCCTTTATATTACAAACCAATAAGTATTATAAATACGAATTTTTCTTCTGTCAGAATTACTGGCCTGTTGAACATTTGTCTCTTTTATATCTACCAGTACTCTCAAAATCATGGCTGCAGCCAAAACTCATCTGTCCTCCCATCTCTCCTCTGCAGTCACAATGAAAGGGGTGCCTGGCAGGCTTGGTGACACAGGTCAACCAGGTGAGTCTCAGGTAAATTACATCATCCTTTTCAAGACTTTTACTAATATCCCAATCGTGTCACATTTATATTTTCACACTTGGTCCATTTGGAGAATTTCCCCACAGTTGTTTGGCCCCAAATGTGTCTGCCTTGCCTTAGAAAGTTTTGTGCATTTGGTGAAAGACATTTTCGCACTTGGGAACAGTCTGCAAAAGCAGTGTTTGATAAACCTCAGAATGATGGTCTGGGTTTTGCACTTAACTAAACCTTGAGGTCTCCTGTTGTACTCAAAAGATACAAACAATACACCACACCACATGCTAGAAGTTGAATAATGAAAAAAATGTAAGGTAAAATCCACCTTCTCATGTATTACTCATATCCATCAGTATTTGCATTATTGTGGTGTGAACAAATGAACAATAATACAATTATGATCGTTCATATTAAATCTTTACAAAAAGTGTGTGAATAAAGACAGACACGATGCAATGATGAAGTATGTGAAAACAGCCAACCAAAACACCTTCTTCACTTTTCAGTACACATGTATGTGTTTCTGTACTGTAGGTCCCCCTGGGAACCCTGGACCCCCTGGCTTGTCTGTTACAGGGAGTCCTGGACCGAAAGGAGACAGAGGAATTTCTGGTCTACCTGGGGTCTCTGGTCCAAGAGGACTGCCAGGAAGAGAAGGGGCTTGTATTACTGGGTCAAAAGGAGACCGTGGCCTTCCTGGTAAACCTGGTTACCAAGGTGAGGATGTAATGCTGGAGGACTTAAGGGTCTCACACACCCTTTTCTAAAAGTTACACTTATTCAAACCATGAACTCAGAACTCAGTAGCTCACTACCATGATAGAACACTTCTTACTAGTCTGTAAAGTATACCCCTGCAGGCCCCGCCTGTATTCATAAAGCTCATCCATATGCCAAAAGATAAACAGATGAATACTCGCCTGTAAGATAAAAGATACTGTAGTCCTATTGCTAAGATAAACGTGTAATCACTATTAATGTCATCTGTTTTGCTTATTGAGAAACCAATTTAGAATATAAATAATAGATAAGATGGATAAAAGATACGCTTATTTTAACTATTGTCACAGTACATCTGTGTAACAATCTGAGTTGAGTGGGCAGGTGGGTTTTTTAATAATTTTGATAATGAAATCAAATTTACAATGAGCAATGTGGAGTCAAATGTCAAATGCACTTATAGAATTAACTTGATAATCAGTGTTCTGAAGTAAAATGTTGTTTTGTGTTTTAACTGATAAGTATCCTCACTATGACAGATGTTTGCATGCTCTGTGCTGCAGGAAAGTGACCCACTCAGGGTTAGCTGCGGGGCCTCAAGTGTTTGCTTTATGGTGCAGACTTCTTAGGTATATGAGCAGTGGGAAATAACCTGCTGTTCTGGTGTTGATTTTTCTGCATTATGTACAAACATCAATAGTTTTAAAGGTGTTTTAAGTCAGAAAGATACTGTATTTTGCTAGTGGTTCTTACTTTATAGTATCGTTCTTATTTTTTTGCTCAGTTCTCAGTTGCAATCAGCAATCATCAATCGCTTTCCTCCCTGCTGTATTTTTAGGATCCCCTGGCCTACCTGGCCCTCCAGGTCCCACAGTGCCTGGGTTAAAAGGAGACAGAGGGGACCCAGGTCTTACAGGAAGCCCAGGCTATAGTGGACCCCCTGGAGATCCAGGCTTTCAAGGACCACCTGTAAGTGACCCCAGCAATGAATACTTTACAAATGTCTGACAAAAAAGTCCAAACAAAGGAAAATAAAGTCCCTACGTTCTGCATTCATTCAACAAAGGTGTGATTTTCTTTTCAAGCAAAGTGTATGATAAAATTGTGCTGTTAAAAATGCACTCAACACACAAAAAAATCTGACAATCCATTCTACAGTGTGGCTTTTTCTTTCAGCATATTAACCAAAATGAGATTACTTTTGAGCATTCTCTGCAGTTACATCACAACAGAACGGCTAATGCTGAGTCTTCAAAATCTTACTGCAATACTTAAAATCTAATCTTTGACCTTTCATTGTTTCATTTGCCTCCCCAGGGTGCAAGAGGCAGACCTGGAGGCCCAGGACCAAGAGGTGATCCTGGTCCACCTGGAATCCAAGGGCCCCCTGGTAATCTTTCATTTCAGCTTTAGCCTACAGATTAGGTTTCTTTGAATTCATCCCCAGACAAAGGCAGATCTGTCACCACAGAAGAGTAGCAGTCCACGATTGATTTATGTTCCCTCAACTGAGGTGAAATCTAAATGGGACAGAGAGTAAAAGAAGATCTATGAAGACTGAATTTCTTCTGTTCTTTTTCTCCGCTTTTCTTCTATGATACCTGATAAAAAGTGTGTGACTTCAGCTAATTTCCTTCCTACGTGTGACATGTGTGTTTTAGGTAATGAGGGAGATCCTGGATACATCCCAGGTCCACATGGTCCACCTGGGAAGAAAGGTTTTCCTGGACGACCTGGTGCGGCAAAAGTCTGTCATACTATTGTTCACAACAACAATAACAATGAGCCATGTTAATATCTTCTAAACCTAATCCAGTCAATCAGTTATGAGTAGCAGCAGAGATGCAATATATCGCCCATCACTGTGATAACCCGTCTTGCACTTGAATACTCTAGAATTTACAAATTCTAGACGTTCCAGAAGATCAGCCATGGACCACAGGTATTATATATTTGGGGAAATAGCTTTCTAATTGCCCATGCTCTATCCCTCCAGGCTTCAAAGGGGAACCAGCATTTGGTAAAGTGATTTATGAACCAGGACCTCCTGGCTTACCTGGTCCCCCTGGCAATGGAGGAGCCCCAGGAAGTACTGGACCATCAGGACCTACAGGCCATTCAGGTCCCTAAGATGCGCTAAGATGCTTTAGTTCTAGTTACTCATACTCCTCAAAGCCAAAGATACCGCACCTAATTTTTGCTACCAAGCGATTAAACCCTTGCTCAGTACCAGATTTTTATTGTTTTGTCTGTTTGCTAAATGGACCATTTATCTCTTGCTTGTTAAAACTATATTATGAAAATGAATAACTGTAGAGGTGTGTGATCTGCAGTATTTGTAAATCCTGCCACTTCCACCAAGCTGGTCATCTTTACATTTATGTGATATTGAATCTTTCTGTCCCAGGCAAGCCAGGTGTCAAAGGACAGCGTGGTACCAGCCCAGTCGGCCAGCCAGGATCTACTGGCCACAAAGGAGACAAAGGAATAGCAGGACTGCCAGGTGTGTGCGTGTGTGAGGCTTAAAGTTTGTGTGTGTGTGTGTGTGTGTGTGTGTGTGTGTGTGTGTGTGTGTGTGCAGGACTGCACAAGTTGCTTGATATTTTGTTAGGATGATGACGACAGGAATTCCCATTGATATCTTTCTGTGTCTACACATCACGGGCATATGGTTGGTTCAATGGCAAAATATTCAAGTGAACCCAGGTTCAACTATCAGCAGCAGTACCTGGCTAGGTTGTTGTCAAATGTACCTGTGTATGAGGGTGGAAACCAATGAGGGATTTAGTGGGAAAACCTGAACCTTGAGTTACACCCTCCCGTTCAAGTTCCTTGCCAGCATATAAATTACTAAAATACAGTCCACCAGTGAGAGTTAGCAGTGACACAAGACTGAAGTACACCGGCTTAACCAAAAAAAATCCTCCCACATGATGTCACTTGACACTTCATTGCATAGATTTATTTTCTTAATTAATGATGTGTTTCCTCTACAGGTCCAGAAGGCAGACGTGGAGTCCCAGGCCGGAAGGGTCTTCCCGGGTTGCCAGGCAGAGGTTGTCTAGGTTTTGTGGACAGTTTCCTGATAGCTAGACACAGCCAGAGCATCCAAATCCCTGACTGCCCTATTGGCACCAGCCTCATGTACTCTGGCTACTCCTTCCTCTTCATCAACGGAAATGAGAGAGCTCATGGTCAGGACCTTGGTAAGAGCAAGGAAACCTTCACGAACAGAAACACTGGGTAGATTCTGTACCTTAAAAACCTGTTTCTTTGCTTTGTTATTTGATGACAGTTCTGACAAATTGTCTCTCAGGCACCATGGGAAGCTGTCTCCCTCGTTTCTCTACCATGCCCTTCCTGTTCTGTGACACAGAAAGTAATTGCCGCTATGCATCTCGTAACGACTACTCCTACTGGTTGTCCACTGACACGCCTATGCCTACCAACATGGTTGCCATCACAGGGGATAAGCTTGCCTCCTACATCAGCAGGTGGTTCAAACACAAATACTCAGACTAATTTATATTATTGTATATTTCCTAGGCAAATACAAAATACAGTTGCTTTTCTTTTCATTGAAATGTAATTTCAGTTCTATTCAGTTTGATTTTCATTAACTTGAAATGTTTTCTTACAATTTATCATGGCAATATTAACATCGGTATCTGTATGCATGTGCGGTTTAGGTGCTCAGTGTGTGAAACCACTTCCAATGTCATAGCCGTCCATAGCCAGACAACTCTGATACCTGACTGTCCCGGAGGATGGGAGTCCCTATGGGCTGGATACTCATTTGTCATGGTAAAGAAATCAGTGTTTTTTTCTCCTGAAACCCTGTCTACTCATATGCAATCTTTCATGTCATTTTCATCCTTTCATCCATTTTAGCAAACGGGTGCTGGAGCAGAGGGCTCCTCCCAGCCCCTGGTTTCTCCTGGCTCATGTTTGGAAAGGTTCCACCAAGTGCCCTTCATCGAATGTCACGGCAGGGGAACATGTAACTATTACCCTGATTCCTATAGCTACTGGCTAGCCTCCATAGACCCCAACAACATGTTCAGGTAAGCTGTTCCCATCTGTGTAAATAATAATAATCACAATGCTGTCAGCGGACTTTAACCCACCCTAAGAATCAAATTCTTATTCTGTCTTAGAAATGATGTGTTTTTTGTATTTGGTAACTTTCTGGAAATAAACCATTTTACCATGATAGTTTATACTAAGCCATTATACAGCAAATCCAAAACTCCACTCAGGATTTATAATTACATTTCCAACATTTGTCTTGTGTGTATTCTCGCCTATAGCAAACCCGTTCCTCAGACAGTGAAGGCACCTTCTTTACAAAGTGTCATCAGCCGTTGTCGAGTCTGCAGGAAACCATGGCAACCTGGGACAGATGATAGACGCGGGGACAGTTGTTAACATTAAGTATCCATTTTTTCAATGTAATTATGAAAATATGATCAATGAGAGAAAAAATTGTGTCTAGTGTGCATATCTGTTTGTTAAACTACTGCTTTCATGTTACAAACCTGTGTTTATGAATCTTATCTCTGAAAAAAAAAAACTCTCTCTCCAATTATTTTTAATGGCAGTTATTGTATAAGATCTGATGATAATGTACATTAAAATCAATAAAACATCAGAGTTTCATCCTACATGCTTCTCTTTTGTGCAATTTCTTTTATGTTACAGGTATCAATACTAAAAATAATCCAGTGATATCTTGAAAACAAGCTATCTCTGACCTAGACAAACCTAGATTGTGACCATGTATACCTTTTTATTGATAAAAGTACAACGCCCACTCTACTTGTGGGTTAATACATTAAATGGCCTAATCTGTGCAGATGACAGCCAGGCTACTGTGAAATAATTAATCAATCTATACAGTGCTGATGCCACTGACATGCTGCTTTGTTCCAAAGAACCTGAGAAGACTGGTGCAGTCCAGTCAATGAATGACGTAAGTACGAGGTCAAGCACAACAAACGGCACACATGTTCCTATGACTTCTGGAGAAGCAGCACGTTGTAAATGAGACACTTTTGCTTTGGAGTTGTTACGTTGTTGTGTTTTCACACGCAAATATCAAGTAATTCAAGAGTTTCCTCAGTCTAAAAGCTATTCAGCCTGTTAAATGGTGCATGGAAAAGATGACATTTTATGACTAAATTTTTCCAATACATTTCTAAATGAACTGTTGGGAGGCAACACTGCAATCATGCTGCTGCCTCTGTGGCTTCAGGACAAAACAATGCACATTAAGATCTTGAGAGAGGACATATTGTGGAAAAAAGATTTTTACATCCCATACTCTCATTGATTTGTCAGTAGGAGGAAAATATATTAAAAATAAAATACAAATAAACAGAATTTATTATTATTTTTATGGTTTTCTTACATAATCTGCCGCTTGATTCTACATGCGACCAGTGGTTTGAAAGAAGCTATTATCAAAAGCTAGATAATAAATCATTTTCCATCCAGAATCATTCCTCTTTTTCATTTCAACATCTTATTTCTCTGCAGTATTCACTCAGCCTCAGTCGAGCAATACGTCATTCAAGTCCACTCATCCGTATCTGTCACTGTGATCAATAGATGCAAACACCCCATATAGCTAGATGCAAAAGGGAACAATAATGTCCTGAAACAACACTGTGTTCAAAATACTGTTGCTTTTTGGCACGCAGATATTCCAAGATATCGATTGCTCAGAGTCAGAAATAACAAACAGCCTCATATGCTTATGTAAGTAAGCCTGCTAACACATGTAACAGCTGAAGAAGAACTGAACCCTCTAGTGTGAATTAAAAACGTGTGAGAAAGTATCACGCTGATTAATTAATTTTTGACATTTTGGGGCAAATTCTCAATTCATTAGGACTCTAGTTCCAACACATCTGAAAGGCCACAAGCAGCCGCTCCTTGAATGCCACCTTGAATTAAATAAGTCTTACATGGCCTGGTACAGACGGTTGTCAGCATAGATAGAAAAACTCTTGCTTTAAAGTGCTCTCAGTAGCTTTCTTAACAGGATTATTCTGCTCCCGACAGTGCACTTACTAATTGTTTAGGCAGCTATATTAGGCTTCTACACCTCTCTAATTGGGTTAGAATGGCGACTTGTTGAAATTTTGATGCACTTCAAGGTTGTCTCCCACTTGAGAAGGACATATGTGCTTTGAATCCAACCACATCCGTTACATGGACTAGAAAGACATCTGTTCATATTTTACAGGTATTTTATGTATTGAAGGGTAATTGCTTTGAATAGTGTTATACTGTGAATTTAAGAAAAAAAAAACTTTAGTTTCCATTAAACGCAGATTCCCCGCCCCTTTCAGGTCAAATCTCAATTCAGAATTGCAACAGGCAGAGTCAATAATCAGATTCTAGAAACTTTCCATTAAGAACATTTCATTGCAGGTTTACAAGGGAATTTCCATACAAACTACAGAGAAATCCTTCTTCCTGTTAGACTCTCAATGATTACTATAGGCATCAATTCATGTCATACATTTTATCCAAAGCAACTTACAATTGCTATATATGTCAGAGCTTGCACGCTTCTGGAGCAACTAGTAGTTAAGTGTCTTGCTCAGAGACACATTGGTGTCTCACAGTGGATTTGAAACTGGGTCTCTCACACTAAAGGTATGTGTCTTATCTACTGCACCATAATTCATTTTTGTATGCTGTATGCAGATGCGCCACCACAGCCACCAAGAAAATGGGTGGCCACCTCAGTGCCCTCCCCCCGGCAAGAAGCATTTGCATAGAATGTTATATACTGTATATATTATGTAACCCCTTGATTTCAGTTAAAAGGTGAAAAGCAGAAAGTGCTCGCATATTAGGCTCTGTCACTTTAAGAGGGTAACCTCTGACCCTGAGGTGTGACAGACTATGATGTTTATTTTAGGAGAGGCCTCTGATTCATCCATGTAGAGGGCAATCACGTTTCTAAAATTGTGACTAGTTAAGGAGCGGGACTAACAGACAGAGCAAATCGGTGGCATCGGAGTACACCGGTGTTGTGCCGAATGTGTGTGTTTTCTGTGGAGGTAGTGACCAGCTGCAGAAAAAGAAAAGAGTAATTTAATTAATGTACAGAGACAGTTAGTAGCCTGTCTAGCTTATAATAAGTTTGTCAAGCTACTACACAGTTTTGTGTATTGTACTGTGTGAGAGCTTTGTTTTTACTTTTTACTCAGAGTAATAAGAGACGCTGCTTCGGTGTTTGACAGGTGAACCTTGTAGGTGGGCTGATTAAACAGTGACGATCCAAGTCAGACAAACACACTGAGCCATGAAAGTTTTTGTTGACGCATTTATACAGCTACCGGAATTACGGTGCTTCTACAGTTGTTCTACATCATTAAACCACGGTTATGCTGCGCGATCATGCGCAGTAGACGCTGGTGCCAACAGGAAGTGGCCCTGTAGTAGTATTTTATTGGTCCAAAACTGGCTTCACTGCTCTCTATTCAAATCAGCGGGGTGGCTTCGTCCAGTAATATACTGTCTATGTTATCAACAGTTAGTGAAAGCTCTAGTTTATACTGCTCTGTGTACTTGTCTCATAGAAATGTTCGTACACAAAGTGCTGTCCAGCAGCTGTATGTGGTCGTGTTGCTACAGTGTTTAGTATGAGTAAATACCACATCAAAAATCAACCGGCGTATCGATAGCTAATCTGGCTAGTTGTAAACGGCTGGCCACGAGCGAGGTTTCTGACTTGTTAACTGGAACGCACCATTAATGTCCACAATGAAATAAGCTAGCTACAGACTAGTGTTAGCCAACATTTGATCAACTTTTAATCAGTGCAGGGAAACGTTTAGTAAGATGTTCATATTAAATCATTGTCCCTGCCCCTTTTAGCAGACTAACAACAGAGGAGTCAGCAGCACCCCAGTCTCCCCATAACTGTAGCCTCCCTGTCCCAGTGAAGAAGGTGAGCAGCATGGTGTTAATTACAGGCAAGTTAGCTTCATTCAAGGGAGAAAAGACAATGAAATATTTCCTAATGACAGAAATTCAAACCAAAAAAAAAAATTTTTAAGATTGAATTATGGCCATTAATGACATCTACAGATACAGACTTTATTATTCCCATCATGAAGGGCAATTTATTTAAGAAGCAAATAGTGAAGTACATCCTGTATGCAGACTTGCATGTACAAATCGCCAGCAGTAAATATTGTGCTAGTACTAATATTGAACTACTAAAATTAGAACTACTAAATCTACTTAAATTAGAGTTATGTAAAGCTTTTGATGGGACAGTTAAGTCCTAGAGAAGTGGTGACAACAGCTGCGCAGAGGGGGTCCAATAAAATTTTTTTTGTCATGGGGCCCAAAATTCCTGGCGGCCCCCCATGTCTGCAGATAGCAACAGGTTAGCACCATCACTAACAGCAAGCTAACGTCGTACAAACACTGGGGCCCCTGACAGCGCCGTGTGTGACTGGCAGTTAACGCTATGCTTCGAGCGAGACCATCCTGTGTCTGTTTTGATCTTCATCCTTCTAAAAGGATCACTAAACATGAGAACAGCGAGAGTCATCTGGACGATGCTGTGAAACTGGGCTCAACGTTACTTGGAAGGGTAAACATCGCTGTCCAACAGGTGCTCCATTGAGCAGCACAACAAACACTGTGGGACCATAACAAGTCGGCGGACTGTCTGAAAAACTTCAGAGTCATCCAGAAGTTTGCCCAGAGGAAAAACCGCTGTGTCGCCTTTCTCCTCACTTGACACCTCAGCAGCAGATTCATCCTGAAGAAGCAGATTCAAAGGCCTCAAGTGAGGCCTCAGCGGTCCCTGCATGGGCTAATTGTGTTGTGCTGGATCGGTTGAGACTAGGCTACGGATTACGATTATTGTCATAATGTTGTTATCATATAGCCACTTTCATATTGCCTTATTATTCGGGATTATTAGGCCAGTTTGCTGGCTTGCTGCACTGTATGAATGGTACGGAGCTGGGAATGGGATATATATTGACGCACAGTCTTTCCGTTTTGATTGCAGGATCTCTGTGGAAAGCGGCTATAGAAAGGGTCTGGATCCTTAAAAGTTGTCTGTGCGCGTCGTTGTTGACTGCAGTGGTGTTGAGATCACTGCTGTTTGCTTATGGCCCTGTAGGCTCATTTGTTCTGAGCTTGGTTGTGTCGCTTAAAAAATGTATTCTTAATTTAGGTTTGTGACAGTGGTACTGTAACTTGTGTCAATGCACTCCTCTCTCTCTCTCTCTCGCGCTCTCTCATGTTAAGTGTTTTGTGGAGCCATGCTGTTTGTTGTTGTTAAAAAACACAGTAGCAAGAGAGAGTATTGTAATTTTACTGGTATCTATGTTTTGAAATGGTTGGTGCCCCACCATTTTTACATCTAAATATGACACTGGTCAAATTGGTGGTTAAAACCGCTTATCCTGTGTACAGGGTTGCGCGATGTTAGATTTTATAGTGGTTTATTATGATGAATAGTTATGAAAGGAGGGGTCGGGAAAAGGGATTGAGAGAAGAGGGTTGAAGGAGCCGGAGCGGCTAGAAACCCGAGGGGTTGAGATTCAGGGTGGGGGTTCATCTCGATAAGTGGCAAGTCTTATGAACCCCCCTGTGGTTCCTGTTGTAGAAAAAGACAAAATGATTGGCAGAATTATAGATTCTAGCGTGCATGTCTTTCATGGTGGGAGGAAACTGGAGCGTCCGGGGGACACCCACGCAAACACAGGGAGAACATGCAAACTCAGCACAGAAAGGCCAGGGCTGAACAGGTCCAAAACCAGGACCTTTCCGCTGTGAGGCCGCAGCGCCGCCCACCGGGCCATCGCAACACCCGTTAGAAGAGATAAGCAAGCAGGGTTTGGGTGGGAGGGATGTGAGAACTGAGAAACAGGAGAGAAAAGGGGTTAGACAGCTTATATACGTGAGTGCATGTGATTGGATTCGAGAGGCAGGGGTGGATGAAATGAGTGAAGCACGGGTGGTCGAATAAGTGAGAGAGGCGTGGTCCTGTTCCTGAACCTCAGTTTATAACTCCATTAATAGAAGTCCTGAAATTCAGTTATGGCTTTTGGTTTAGTATGCCACCCCAGGATTTTCTGGGGCGCCACTGGCTGGCTGTATGTATGTTGGTATAATCTTTTGGAACCACTGTTCAAACTCATTACTTAAAGCTGGAGTAAGCGATTCTAATCCAAAATATCTCTTTTTGTTATATTCAGTGAATATCTCCTCATGGTCCACTTGCTTACCGTTCTGTGTGTGCACTGAAACTTGCTGGTTTGTTTTTCACTTGATGTCATGATTTTCTTCATGCCGTCGGATTGCTCCAGAATTGCTTACTGTACCTTTAAGCCTAATGCTATAGGGAATTAAGCTGCACCTTAATAGAGAGACCCAATGGTGATCGATATGAGGGATAGCCCAGATTTAATTGTAAAGAATAAAGATAACAATTTCCTGTGAGTGACTTTTTCTTATTTAGTAATTGCTCGCAGCTGTACCCACCTGGAAAGAGTTTATTTAACTTAAACAAGACTGAACAATAAAGTGTTGTTTTGCTGTTACAACACTCCGGCCAAGTTAACGTTTTTGTTGTTTTCGCCTTGTTGATCATTTGAGATCAACTTTACTTATTAACACTACACTCCGCTACTAGTAACGGAAGGAGAAGTGAAGCATATGTAAATTATATATAATTATATTAATATGTAAACTGAATTTACAATTTACCATTTTAAGTCTTTTGACCCACTTTGCCTTTACATGTATAACCTAATAAACTTTTAACATTAAAACAGCATGATTTTAAATGGAAGGGTTACAAAATTTTCTGTCCACATTATGCAGTTGCACATTTGCAGCTTGTACCATTACAAAATAATTATAGCCTATGACAAATATGACTTAACAGTAGAACTGTTAAATTAAACCAAGCAGAAATCTCATTAAGAAGATGCCCAGAACAGACTCACAAGGGTGTAACAAATGACAAGCTGACCTTTATGGCCTTTGGATAGCCCAGTGTCTCTGAGCTGCACATTGATTCAGCTTTATGGCACGGCAAGGTTAATGAAGTCATTGTTTCCCCCATTAATGTTTTATTTTACATGAATGCACATTGCACTTTGCTTACAGGGCTTTGCTTTTAAACAAGGAGGCAGAGAGGATCTTTCATATTTACAAGTTACGCCAATGACAGCATCGGGATGACCTTCACTAATACAACCAGATTACAGTGTGTTTATGTAAATGATGGAGACCGGGATGGTGAAAATGTCCCTATTGAGACCTTTTGTCTCACTCCTAATGACTGCTGTAAATTACATAGGACATGCTTCAGTGCATTGATGGGGGCAAACACAAAACTGGGGATGGTTTTTAGTCAAATACCCTGCACCCTCCTCCTCCTTTTTTGGGCCTAGGTGCCACTTTAAAAACAGACATGTCTCTGTGCTGTACAGTTAAGGTGCACCTCAGCAGCAGATGTTGTGGTGTCTGACCAAGAAGAATTCTCCCAACAAGAAGCACACACCCAAGATTGTAAGAATGGCCCATATCATGTGCATTTTGGCACTTTTGTGTTTTGCATCATGTGTTGCGGAAAATACAGAAACGGAGCAGGGGTTTAAAGACCATCAACTACAGCAAAACTCATTGTCGTGGCTCGACAAATTACAGGACAACCAGGTAAGATGTCTTTACTTTTACCTGATACAGTTTTTATTTTGTTTGAATTTTTGTTTGAACATCTCTATCGAAGAATTGTCCTTCCAGTGATTGAAACCAGGTCCCAAATCCCAGCTACAATTATGCTGCAGGCCACAGAATGCCCTGCCTACAGATTTTCAAAAAGTCTCTGCTTATGCACACATATTTTATTGATCTTGATCCAGTAAAAATTTAATTTTATTTTCAGCAAGTCATTCTAGATGCTGTCAGAGCTAACCTGCTCAATATCTGTCATTTGATTATCCTCGGCACTGCACCTCCATGAAATTACAGATTAGAGATTAGAGTGCGCTACCCTTTCTGGCTTTGAGCAACAAAAGTTCTGTAACAAAAGATAAACTGATTTACAGTTTGGTAGAAATTCCCATTTGCCTGAAAGTGCAAACATGGTGAAGTAAAATTGTATAGTTACTGACATGTAAGAGTCTGTAAATGTTACATCATGTTACTATTTTCCTTCATAGGAATTGACAAAGAAACAGAATTTATTAGACTTGCTTTTTAAACTCTCCAAATCCGAAAATGGAATTATCCTGGAAGGACCCGCAGGCACAGAGAAACAGGAGAAGAATCGACGAGAACTGGGAAGTGGCAATACAACTCACACTCGGAGACCCGGCTGCAGAGTCTTCTTCTGGAAATCCTGGACTGCCTGCTAACTATGTTCTGTCTGAAGTCCCAGATTGTCAAATCATGAAATGGATATTTGAAGTCTCAAGTATTATAGCTAATATAGTTTTCTCTTGATATAGCCTTCTCTTTGTTGCTGCTTTACGGTCACATAAAATCGTTTTCAACTGCATTTTGTCTCAAGATAAAGAAAACAAACAAGTGCTTTGTGCTGTTCATGCTCAGATAAATGTTTTTTGTTTATAGGATATTCAATTATTTCATAATTTTCAGTGAACATTGCTTAGCTTCTGTCTTCAATGGTACTGCCTGAATGTAAAAATAGTGGACCACTGTTGCAAACTATGTAAGAATGTATATGATGACTACTTACTGACACAGCTTTCATTTTATTAAATATACCTAGCCACTAAAGCCTAAATTCTTTGAAGCATGACTTCACCACAATTAGCAACACAGCTTCTGCACTGATCTGGCTTGTTTGTATCCTGCTATCCATTTATTTTCTTAAAGCTAGACTACATGTGAAAGAACATTTACCACATCCTTCTGCTAATAAATATAAAGTTGAATTCATAAGCAATGAAACACAAACTTGTTCATTTCAATACTCTCAGGGGTTTTGCTACAGCCTTACTTGGCCTGGTATGGCCAACAGCATATAATGGTTAATACTAGCAAACTTTGGAATGGTATTGCTGTGTACATGACATTACTGAGTCAGTTTGCTGATAATGACGGTACTCGAAGTACTTGTGCTACTGTTACACTATGTTTTAGCGTTATCCCAGAAATACCACTAGTAGCCACAGCGGCCATTGACCAGCAAGTTACATAGTCTCCCTTTACATTTTGTTTTATTTCAAAATTCACAGTAAACTTTACAGAGTTTTATGTGGTGAATCTCAACATATTGGCTGTATCTGGGGCGCAGGAACTATTTAGAACTGTGCCATCATTCATGTCTTTTTAAAAGCCACTTCTCATTTTTGTAGTTAGTTTAACAATATTTGACCCTCTTACTACTGCATGCCTGCATTGTTTGCAGTACACCTGACAGTCTGGAGGAGGTGGACACAATGAAGTGGGCACTGAATATTTAATGATCAAAAAATCAACAGCCACAGTGGAAAAAGCAGCTGCACGTATACTGCTTGTCAAAGAGATGTAGTTAAAAGAGCCCTACAGGGAGCCGAAAAACTCGGCAGGCGTCCTCAACGACCAACTTCGCTCCACTGGCCTGTTGAAGTGTTGTGTTTGATTGTGCATCTGTTTTAAATTTTAAATCAGTCAAGGTCACCCACATTCAGTCACCAAACACATCAAAAAATCTTTCTATATGGACCCACTTTTGTTAGTATTATTTTCACTCAATTAGAAGAGGCTGTACTCCTCCTTGTTAAATCCAGATAGACTTTAAATGTAATAAATGTCTGCAGTGTGTTTGATGTTTTCAAGTGATCTTCAAAGATTTGCCTAGCAAAGCAATAAACCAACAACTTTACAGACATCCTTTCATTTTGTCTTTGATGTTCCTTCAATTGTTATTCCCATGATTGAAGCATATTTTTTTCATCTTTAAGTGTTCTGTAGTTTTGCCTGCAATCTGTAATGAGACAAAACATCTTTTGTGTGTGCCACATGTGCATGCATGCAATCCATATGTTGTTTTTGCATATTTCCTGATTCATGCGTACATATGTGTGCTGATCTGCATAAAATATTTACTTATAACATCACATTATTGCACTGATGAGCATGCATTAAAGTAGCTCAGCAGCAATGCATATCCTGGAGGCCTTCCTGTTAAAAATGCATCGATCTCCACCATGTATGTATTATGCATGCATGTAGAACTGTGAGGTAAACTTGGTAAGAATTAAATTAACGCATAACCTCCAACAAGTAAAGAAGACTGTAGGTGGAACATGGAAGAAAGGAAAAAGAAGAGTAGATTGAGGAGAAATGTATCAAATTGGATAGAGAGGTGGAGAGGGGGTAGAGATTAGGAAAGTGAGAAAGTAGGATTGAGGCAAAGAGGATGGACAAGGAGATGAGAGAGAAAATTATTAAGGAAAAAGTGTTTGAGCATAACTGCAGTCAAAGCTTGGCTTAGTATCCTTTCTGTCCCTGGGTTATTGGGATTCATCAGAACAGCTTCCCTCTGCCAGCACATTAACATGCTCATGTTGCAGAGCTCCTACAATAAAACCAGTGTGTGAGTGGGCGAGTGGCTGGGTGAGTGGGCTTACAGTGTGTGTGGGTGCATGTGTGCACTGTGCATGAACCTGTATGTGTCTCGTATATGAGCGAGTTAGCTTGCAGTATTTCTCACAATACCCATCTGCAGACAGGAGAAGCCAGAAGCAGCAAATCACTGAGAAAAAGAGGCAAAGAGAAGGTAAAGTGATCTGTTGTTAGCATCTCAGGATAGTGGACGGTCTCACAAGGTGCTGCAGCAGAGGCTTAAAGGTTTGAATTCCGTCTCTTTAACCATCAGAACTCATTTCATTCAAGCATGTATAACCACTCCCAAGCAGCTCCTCTTTCCCCCCTTCCCCCATCGTCCAGAGGTAAACACATTAGAGCCAATTATCCAATACTTTTGCCAACTCTGAGCAGTTGATTTCGATGTAAAAGATGCAGATAAAAAACTCTGAGCCAGTGAGATCAAAGAAGCATCACTGAGCCTTAATTGAACAGAGACCAATTATTTTTAATGAGTAGAACTGAATGCCCCACTTCTGAGTAGGAGTTCCCTCATTCTCTCCTTGGGAGAACGAGAAAAGAGAAGCAAGTGGAGTCCCAGTGGCAGAGGCACAGATCAACACAACAGGACAAAAAGAGGTACACAGAGAGCAATAAAAAATGCCTGGGATAAAAGATCAGGAACATTTATTACTCTGTGTGCTCCCAAGTCTGCAAAAGTCAAATAAACGCATGTACAAGTCTGTTTAAATAACAGTTGGGGCCATAAATAGATGTCTGTGGTGTTGACCCAGCCAACTGCAAAATCTAAACTTTGTCTTTGAGCTATAGCCTACCTTTATTATAGCCAAATACTTATTGCAGACATTACAGTGTTGTACACAGCCCAAAGAACAGCAGATACAGTTGACACAGAACTAGTGTAGAAGTAACATAGACAACACACAGACATCCATTTGACATAATCCTGGTGAAGGGATTTTTGTACCGCAGAGATGTTGTAAACTGTGCCAGCGGTAACTTTTTGAAATGCAATGAAAGCCATATAATCAGTCAAAGGTAATTTAGTGTAGTTTTAAAACCACCACCTGTTTTGTCTGTTAAATGAACAACTCAAGGGAACCGATTTATATTAGGTGCACAGCATGATAACAGTATTCAAAGGCAACCTTCTGGGATAATCAAATTTCACAGCTCCTGTAATCCAGTAAGATGTAAGCTATCTTGTATACAAACATGATATTCTGACCTGAGGGTGGCACTAGAGGAGGCTTATGGAGTGCTGAAAATGGAAATAGTTCATCTTCTGGGGTCTAGGGAGCATAAATGTGTTCATTAGCAATGTTAGATTCTCATATTTCTTATTTGCAAGTGGGAATTTTGTCCCAGTGATGGAACTAGAGGAAAGATAATTTACATATCTTGGCCGATAAACAGTGTGATAACAGAAAGACACTTAAGAAAGGTGTTAAATCAGCAGCTGCAGGAGAAGCTGCTGGTGTGTGTTCACTTGTCTGTCTCTCCGTCTGAAGCTGAGCTCCAGAGAGCTTCACTGGCTCAGTGGGCTACAAAACACAATAATGCACTAAAATTAAGGATGAAGTCGTTATGGGTATTTTTTGGCATCCTCGGCATAGTTTTAAAAAAAAGGTTGCATCTGCCTTAATACAACACTTACCAGCATGCTAACTGATACAAATCAAACCCAAATTGTTGCTTGACAAACCTCGTCAGCTGAATAGCCTGTCGTGCTAAAGGTCCACCACAGAGAAGGCAGTGGTTAACGTTGAGGTAAAAAGATGTTGTCTAAAAGTTATCCAAGTTTACTAGTTTGTGTGCCTTTTGATAACATGATTCACATTGCAGTGGGCCTAAACATCCAATCCATAACCGAGGTGGCGTCAGAGCTGGGTTGACTACTAACTGCAATGTGTGAGGTAAATATTGTCAGGTATTTAGCAAGTATGTTTTGGCAGTATGTGTTAAGACAACTGAACTAATTAAATTCTTGTAATTTTAGGGTTGTTTAGCCACTGCTGTTTTGCCTGCCCGATCAACTGCTGCTATTTGTGTTTGAATTGTAATGTCTATTTTATGAGAATTGTTACAGGTGGATGGGCCCTTGTGAATGTGGTTGCCAACTGCCGGGGTCTACTAGGGGTGTGGCGGTTGTCCCTGTTTTTGGCTGTATGATTTTCCTCAGCTTCTTAGCCGTTTTTTTCCCCTTTTAGTGTTCTGCTGGACAGAAAGATTGGTGGATTGTGGGAACCCCTTTCCCCTTCAATGCATGTGGTGGTGGGTATGACAGCTGTGTGCATGCTTTACTTAGTTTTATTGTGACGTTTGTGTGTATCTTGCTGTGTCTAGGTGGCTGCGCGCCGGTGTGAGTGGTGGTGTTAAAGCACCTGGGTGGCCCACAGGTAGGTCTGGTCCCTGCAGATGCTGAGGCGTTTTTAACCGTGTGCTTTTATCCCTTAGCATCTCTGGCTTATTTGTTTTTATTGTTGTGCTTGTGCAGCGAATAAAATTGCCCAAAGCCTGATCTTAATTGTTTAAATAAATATTCCTTCCGGTCGAAACTCACATCTTTGGATTTTATTGTGGGAAACCCATGGCAATTGCTGATTTACTATTTGGGGATTTGAATCCCTCACTATTTGACTTGGTTACAAATGCAACAACAAACCTATTTTGCACATACACTGTAGCAACATGTCCACAGATTGGACAGTACTATGTGTAGCCTACAACTGATTTAATGAGACACAAAGACAGAAGTGGGATATACAGTATATTTTTACGGCTTTCACTGTTGATGCTTTGGGCAGCCCTCTTAGATTTTCAGTTTGGGGTTGGTGAGGTTCTGTTCTAGTCTGAATGTCTTTGGAAGGTGGGAGGAAGCTGGAGCACACGGAGAGAACACTATATGAAACTGTATTAAAATAAATACATCCAAATTTATATATCAGTTTATCAGCTATAACAGAACTGCCATTGTTGTGTGATGTCATTCAGCTGCTTCTGGTTTAGTGGGCATTGATATTTTTTCTCAGAGTTCACATGTAGGAACTCTGACTTCAAGTGGTAATCCATGGTACCACTTTTTACCTTTTTAGTTGGAGGCTGGAAATTTCCAAGTTGCCTCGACGGCATAACTTAACTGTAGACTGCAGGAATAGGCAAGATAACCATCTGACTATAGACTGAGGTAAGTGGCACTATATTCTATTTTTAAACTAACTTCTGCTATGTTGCTGGAACTGATTTCTGGAAGATTTTCACCAACCTCTGCACTTGTGTATGTGGTTGGGTGACAAAGGGATTTGATTTTGATATTTGTTTGGAGTCGGAGTTGTGGTCATTACTTGGATAAATGGCGCCTTGGAATATAACACCACTTGGCCTTGTCTTACTATAGGTGACAAAAGAAAAAAGTGAAGCTTTTGATGGCTAGGGAGGAGGTGTTTGAGGGTTACAAATCAGTAACATGTAGTACAACAACGTACAACAAAAAGTACGCAAATCACAAGACAAAATACGGACAGACCAGATGGAAGAAGGATGGGTAGACAACTTTAAGTTGGAGATGTCCTAAAACAAAACATCTGATAACAGCAACTAAAATCATCTGGCTGTGATAAGTTATATAAGTTTGCAGAAACGCATTATAATTCATTGCACTGTGAAACACATTTGTCATAACTTACAGACTAAGATAAGGTGCTATAACTGATACAGTGGCTGGTATTGTACAATTTACACCCTTCACAGAGCCAGAGGAGAGGATTCCAGCCAAGCTAATAAGTTCGTAACTCCCCTATGCCCCTCTTCAACCACCGTCCAGCCCTGCCAGAGAGAGAGTGTGTAATAATGCTATACTTTCATATAACTTGCATACATCAGTTCTCTAGAGCCTGGCACCTGGGAGGGAATTGGAGAGTGAGGTAAGTCTTGTTTTGTAAGCTGCTTCTGTTTTTCCTCTTTGATATGCACATTAATTTGATATTGTTTTTTGTGTAGCTTGTTATGCTTACCTTATGTGGGTGTCAGTGATTGACACACTTGAAATGACAGCGATTTGGAATGGCACATCAAGATGGATGAGAAAGACAAGGATGATAGTTACTTTTAAAGGTGTTGGATACAATTTTTGCGTCTTAAAAACTCAAATGATCACTTGCAGTTTGATGTAATGGAGTGGGATATCTCATTGGGGCTGTCTGCAAGAACACACATTGGACTTTTAAAGTAAGTGCACTTCGATCACTGCAATTTACGCAACTGTATTTACAACTCTGAGAATCACATAGCTACATTGAAGTATCCTATCTGTGAAGGTCCATGTATCAAATGGAAGGACAGACTGTTTGCAGACCCATTTGAAGCCACTTCCACTAAAACCAATGAAGGGGTTTAACAAGATCAGGATTTATTTTCATCTGTTGCATTTATTAGATAAGTTTAATGATTTCTGTTAATTTATTTGTTTGCTTAAAGGCTGTCATTGGGTAAAAGAAGTCAATTTATGAAGATGGATATGTGACATGGTCTGCCATCCCAGTCAGTAGGATTCCACATCCTGTGGTGTGTTGGTCTGCAAAGCAAGATTATGTACCTTTTAGTAAGCATGTAAAGGACACAAATAACACTAACTTGTATTTTAAGGGAGCAGAGCTGCTGCTGAAACGAGGCAAAACATTTACCAATACTTAACCCACTGTGAAATTGGAATATCTTAATAGAACTGTGCTGCATCTGTGGACAAACAGACAGCGGGGAAAGGGACACTTCAGCAGCACATGTGGATCATTGGGTAGGATGAAAATTCATAAAGGGTGCATTCTTTATTTTTAAAATTTAATTTATCTATTTCATTTCAGACTGAATGCACAGTGGTTCTGCGGTGTGGGGGTGTGTGTGGCAAGGCCCAATGTGGACTTTGAGTCCGGCTTGCCACATTAAATGGTTGTTCTTTTATGTTCCTGTCTCCATCCTCACATCCTCCATCACATCATCTGGTACGCTACTACGACTGCCAGGGACAAGAGCAGATTGCAGATTTTGCTAATTTGATTTGGCCTGTCCTAAATAAAATAACTGTTTGACATCTCTATGTTCTTGTCTGGGTTATAAGCATAAGCAGTGGAGGATTTTTTTTATTGTGCAGCTGATGGTGGGATCTTCCAACTTCACTATTGCCACGTGATTACGTCAACATTGGTTTCGTTGATTTGTAGCGCTACAATTGTTTTTAATTAAATTGTTTTAAACAGCAAATTATTTGTGTTGGAAATAAGTAAAATACCAAAATCGCATGAAGTGTATGAACCGTGTGGTCACAAGTTAATCTGGCAGCTTAATAACCTCTATTTACATATGCAAAAAGGAGTAGGAAGAAGTAAAACTTTTATATTCCTACCCCATTATACCCGTACTACCATATTTAATGAAATGGCTACAAAATAATTTAACAGAGATAATAAATCTATTATCAAAGTAAATACATATTCAAAAGTTGTATTCACATACATATGTTTACACATACACAACACTATTTATGCACATACCACAAGTTTCTCTGTACCTGTGGAATATAATTTCTTTGAACATCTTTTTAAATTGGAATATGTTTGGACGTAAACCTCACAAAGAGTATATGGAAGTTGCTAGGACCTAGTTTTGAAAATGTTTGTTTGAAATTAAGATAAATGCATTACTAAATTATTTTTCATTTTTGTTTTGAAGCTTCAATGTTCTTACTCTAGTGAGTGATAAGTTATTATTGTGGTAGATTCACTATTTTATTATGCCGATTCTAAATAGGTGCCAACATGTTAATACATTTGAATAATACATGTAAGTAAAGTTATACTTCACAGCAATGCTATCATGGTTATTATGAACAGTACATCTGCTTCCCAGGTAAAATTGCAACACAGCAATTGAGTCCAAGGTTGCCTCTTCCACACAGGAGGAAAGTTGGGGGAGGACAGGTAGATGTTAGAGGAGTAGCAGAGGCCACAGCTGTAGCTGAGAAGAGAGTATAGCGGCCTTCAAGCTGTTTGCAGCCCTTGCCCTCCCTATGTGTATCTAAAAAGATGACCCAACTCCCATGGGAGTATGAATAGCTGGCCTTGACTTGTTTCTGCTCTTAGAAAAAGTTAATTACAGAGGTGGATGCAGTGAACAGGATGGTATATTGATTGTGATAAAATCATGAGGCGTTTTTGCTCAGTGTTTCTGGGGTTACACACATTTGGATAACAAGGAAATCTATGATGTGGGTCTTATTACGATATGTTCTGTGAGGACACATTACCTCAGAAACCGCAGGTTGTTTTTTTTGCCCATGTACGCATGGGTCTGAGTATGGCAGACTTGCAAAACTTGGCATTCACATTAGCGTCAGCTGAATTTTGTGTTTACTGCTAATCAGCAAATGTTTACCTGCTAACACACTGATGGCTAACCTAGTAAACATTATACATGCTAAACATCAGCATGTTATTGTGAGCATATTGCCATACAAGCATTAATATTTAGCTCAAAGCACGGCTGTGCCTAAGACTCATAAATCCCCTACTATGACTGTAGATTTTTCAATTATATGTTGGAGCTTTCTTTGAAGTGGAGAGTCCTGTGATGTGAAGATAAATCAACAAAACAGATGATAAATTGTAATCAAGTGTGCACATGAGAAGACCCATTGGAATATATGTGAGCTTGTGTGTAAATATGCATTTGTATGGAGAGAGAGAAAAAAAACTTAGAATGAAAATCAGGAGATGGAGAACTTTTCATCTCGCTTCTTTTGCCATTTTCATTTGCCTTTAACATTCTTTTTATCTTTTTGTTGTATTTTTCTCCCTCTCCCTTCTTTCTCTGCACACTTTCTCTCCTCCAACTCTGCTGTTCCCTGTGCTGCAGTCATCAACAGGAGAGAAGACAAGCCACGTCCTGAAAGTCAGTGGGAGCCTTCATCCTCCTCCTCCTCATTCTCCTTCCAGACGGCACGGAAGGTCTGTTTCCATGACAACGGGAGAATTAAGGGCGAAGGAGCGCCATCCCAAAATGACACATCGGATTTAGGGGCTAGTGAGAAGATAAATCACCTCTGCTGAATTGACTCGGAGGAAACGGATTGGATTTTCTGAATGTGAACCGCATAAAAACCCACGGTGATGGATTTAGTTTGTCTGCTTATCCTGCTGCTTCTCTTGTTGTTGACAAGAGTGACATTGATGAAAGAGGCACGCGTTACAGCTGTCAGTCATGATCAACAACACATGGAATCAATCACGGCATAGGTGAACGTTTTTGATAACATAGTCTTTATTCTTAAACAATCACTAACTTCATTCTGATTTTTATTTTCGATGCATATTTTTTAAATTTCATCTCACAATTCATAATGCATATATGAGCGTGTTCCAATGCAGTGAAATAATCTGCAAACATAAAAATAATAAATTATACTTAATATCACATACAACCAAAGCCTTTGCTAACCCTTTCATACATCAATAACCCCCCCCCCCAAAAAAGTGCTCTCCTTTACGCTCTCCCACATCAGCTATTTTTACCTCTTTGCTTTATTCATCCATTTCTTAAATCCTCTCATTCTGCTGTCAACAGTTGACATCAAGTACATCCAATTTCATGCACTGCTTTAAGTCCATGTATATTTCATTTGCACCAATATAAACCTCTATAAAAAGATACCTATATATGCTGGTCTTGCCTGCTGACTTCCAGTGTCACGTCTAATATGCTGTATGTATCACTGTTATGCTGTAGGTGCTATGGAAGTTGAACTAATCTACCATTAGCTCTTGCAGGTAACTTGCACCAGCTATAGACCCGGGCCCCAGGTGGAAAACCCTCATAGATCCATGATGATATAACACTGCGGTTTGCTCTGTGCAGCTGAATGTGTGCTATATACTCTACATACCACCAATTTAGCATATGATTTTCAACCAGATATAGTAGACATGTACAAACTCTCGCTAAAATACTGATCAAAACGTTGCATAAAAAAGTTTTGGACATATTCCCCCAAACTTAAAGCAATCTTTTATTAGCTCTCACCTCAAAATCAAACCAATCAACTCTTACAGTCATGCGATGTTCATGCTTTATCTCGGCTCCCGTCATTCCTTTTACAACCTCCGAATCCTGGCTAGGCTTAGCTGTACACCACCTGTAATGATAAAAACACCACAGACCCCATCCAGACCTCCTTAAACACCACACCAGTGGCCAGGCTTTGTGCAATGGGTGCTGGACAATGAGCAGCCAGCCTTTATTTCTGGCCCCATTCACGGAACAATTGTAGGACTTCCTGAGTTAGACAAACTAATTGGAGATTAGGAATGGAACGGTGTACCAGTCAATTCACCTTGTTTATACAGCCCTGTCAGCATGTTGATTTATATATAGTGAAGCTTTCCTCCACAATGCAGCAAATGGCTCATTTCATGGGTCACAAAACCGGGGGGTGAAGGGGGGACGCTGTACAGATTACCATGTCAGAGAAAACAAACAGTGAGATACTCTCACTGAGATAGTAAATCATCCTCACCGAACCTGGCTAAATCCAGATGAACTGGTTTCCTCAATGAGACATTCTGCTTACATTGTGATGGGAAAGTCTTAGTGATTGTGAAATTATATTGAAAATATCAACAAGTCAGGTCAGTAAATTATTAAACAGTCAGACACCCTGTCCACCAGTGTTGAGTTGAATCTTTTCACAAGAAAAATAAAAGAAATAGTAGAACTTGAAAACTAGACAACACATATCTTCACTGCCAGGCCTGCCAAAACAACTTTCATCCTTACTTTTGCTTAGAAAAAACAGCAGAATGCTTTTTTAATCAAGGATTATTTCATGATTTGTCAATATAGTTCAAAAGCCTGAATACTGTTATATAGATATATTTTGAGAGTTGTTGTTATATCCTAGCTAACAGCCGAGAAAGGGGTCTGTGTTTCTTGAGGCGCAAATGTGAAGTGACCGTTTTTGGCCATGGCTCATAGTGCTGATGCTGGTCGTTATATTGCTCTCAGTTGTTGGAGAGAATTTGTCAAAAATGGCAAAGAAGAGTTTCTTTGCCATTTTTGACAAATATGAACATCTCTTTATTTAAAACCTACTAATCCTTGCAAATGTTAAGAGTATATTGAAGCTATATCAAAACAGTTTTCCTTTGATTCAGACTTACTTACTTCTGCAACTTTCTGTCAGCCTTCGAACACACTGACCACAGAGATGTGCCGTCAGCTTGGTATGAATGTTATTTAGAGACATGCTAGACTGCTCTCTATTATATTGCTTGTATCATTCCTGTTCTGTCACAGCAGAACAACATAGGGAAGTTCACATTAGAGTATTTCAAACAGCCCTATCCGTCCAATTAGTCACATTAGTTACACTTACAGTACACACCTGAGTAAATTACATCCCACCCTAAGCACTCTGTATCCAATGGAGTCCAACACAGAGAACTATCAAATACATTCAGTCTTACCCTCATACCAGAGCAGGTAGTATGACAGTGCATTCAGGATTAAACTATGAGAGACACAAGAGTAATTGAAAAGAAAAATAATACTTTCTTTAGTCTCAAAAACAAAAAGAAAAGCCAGAATAATTATGATAGGATCAACAGATTAGTAATGATGATGATGTTCTAGTTAATACTGACAATAACACAATAAGCATATGAGTGCAATAGCATTTAAAAAAGAAATCAATGTATGAAAATTGAACATGTATTAAAGCTTGTTTTTCACAGCATAAATTGGAAATGATAGATATTTGTATTTGTGTGAAGAGAGACCACCATTCCTTTGTTTATCACAGCTTTTTCTCTTTTTTTGCATAAAATGTTGGTCAAGTCCTGATTGAAAATGTTTTTTTTCTCTCCATATATGGATATATATATATATATATCCATATATCCTCTGGTTTCATATTAATTCATCTAAAAGGTTTTCACAGGCAAGAGTTCAGTTTTGTTTTTGATGTCTTGGGTGTACTGTAATAGCTCCACGTCGTGGCAACGCCCTCTTTTTTTTCCCAGAGGGGATGTATTTTGGGGGGAGGTGAGTTTTCCTATGGCCCCTCCCTCTGAGTCAGGATGAGGCCACTCCCCCCTGCTGGAAGCCCCTCCCCCTGCTGCTATGTGGAGTCCTGATTGACAGCTTTCCCTCCGTTCATGGTGGGAGTCCCTGAGCTCTTCCTGGAGCGGTGCTTGTCCTCTATCTCATGCATTGACGGCTCCCTGTACATACAAACTGTAGTGGGGATGTAAAGAGAGGAAAGAGACGGAAGGAGAGGAGACGAGAGGACAAAGAGAGGAGGAGCTCAGAAAGGGGACAATGGAGAGCAGATTGAAGAGATGGATGTGAAGACAGAGGACAAGGTCAGGTGCGAGGCTGGAGGGACAATTATACCAGGCTGGAAGGGATAAGATGGGGAATTAGGACCGTGTCAGCAGTTCTTTTATCACGTTGCTTGACGGGTTTTCATGATACTATCTATCAAACACTGCTCTCATTAGAAACATGTTAGAGTCAATATTTAAAAATAAGCTGCTAATGAAATGCTCTAAAAGAAAATTCTTAGGCCTGATACTTGAAAAACCAACAACAGATGCAGACTTTTAAAAAAAGTTAGACCTTTTGGGAAATACGCTAATTGGCTTTTTTTGAGATTTACATGGGAAGATCAGTGTCCTAGCTTAGCTTAGCTTAGCTTAGCTTAGCGTAAACACTGAAAACAGGGGAAAGCTTGCCTGGATCTTTAAAAAGGGGATATTCCACCTATCAGCACCCCTAAATCTCTCTAAATAACCTGTGATACCGGTGCAGGTAAGTGGATTGTTTTCTATCCTTGGTCAGAGCTAGGCTATCTTATTTCTTGTCATTATGCTAATGCTAAGCTAACCACCCGCTGGTTGTAGCTTCATATTTAGCCATCAGACAAAGGAGTAGTGTGGATATTCTCATCTACCTCCCAGCTGGAAAGTGAAAAGGTATTTCTAAACCATTCCTTTAATAAGTCATCAGATCCTTTTATACCTGTATATCTCATTCCAGTTTTATTTCTATACATAGTAAATATAAGAATTTAGAAAGACCGTACCAGAGGGCTTTTTAACATATTAACTGCACATATATATGTACTGTGTATGTGTATACTTTAAATTACTGTCAACCCTTTAAACTCAGAGAGGAAATTTGTCTTGCAGGTAAGTAGAACATAGAACACACAGAGATTTGGGCACACAGATTAAGGTACATAAAACCTGATAAAATACATAGAACATGAAAAAAAAATAGTGAAAAATCCTATAGTATATTTAGTTATTGCCATTTTCATAAATAGTTTATTCTTTCCCATCTTCAGAGCGACCACTGTTCCACTAATTTCAATAATGGAACTTTCAGAGACATTAAAACCTGGTTCAGAAAGGTTATCCATCACAGTACATGCACAGTTACAAGATAATTGTTTAGATATCTCTCCTTCTCGCTAAAAGTTACTGCAATATCTGAAAGTAGATGGTTTTCAAAACATTTTAAATGCAAGAATTAAACAGTTTTTCAGTACCCTTCTTGATTGTTTTTTGGGGCTGGTTTGATGAAAACTAGGCCTGAGAATATAATGCTTTAGTCAAATCTCTAATATCTTGTGGCTTAGAATGCGCTGCAACACTGCAACAACTACAAAATGTTTCTTGTACTGAATTTCGATTGTAACTAAACAACTTTCATACCACATTGTGATGTAATGGATAGGAAATATGATATCTTTTCAAAGTAATTGCGTATTATACCCAATTTATAAATGTATAGTACATGGGAAGTACAGGCATAAGCACAAAAAGGATTCAACCAAGCATTAAAAAGAAAATAGATTACTCATACCTTCGATAGGCCTGGGCACAAAGTGTGACGAGGGCTTAGTCTTCTTGACTCGGTTGCCCTTCATGACTTGTCCCTCCTTGGTGAGGCCAAGGAACCAGGCCCGGCCAGACTCCTGCTGCCGGTACACAGTGGACGAGTAGATCACATAGTAGTTCTCAAAAACGGACTCCTTGAACTTGCACTCTGGCGTGAACATCTCCTGCAAAAGAGATATCCATATGCGCATGTAGGCTCGCACATTAATGCATCCATGAATCAATGCATGCACACACACGCACACACAAAATTTTGTTTGTATCCACAT